ATAAATTATGTTAAATTTAAAATACAAATAAATCATCTTTCACTACCTTCGACCTTGAATAAGAGGCACAAATATAAACTATTAACTATATGTGAAGGTGAACAGACGAATAGCTGCCAATTTGTAGATCTTGGAGACAGGCTCGCTTGCAAACAAAAGAAACTTGTCTCTTTCTTCCTCTGATATAGAGATTTATAAATACTGTAGTGATATTCGTCTGACCGCTTTGAGTTTCAATTTAACATTATCTATTACTATATAATGTTCAAAAGATTAAACAAAAATGATTACTTGTTACTATATAATTCAAATAATATAACTCAAGCTGAGGCTGTCTCTTGGAGTATGAAAGCTTTCAGAGCCAGCTCTAGTACGTGCTGAGGTGAGGGTATTTAATAGTAGGACATATCACATATCAGCATATGGCTGTGGTCCTTCATAAGACGTGTACAGAATATGCACATGTTTGAGGTAAGCTCATTCCAACTGCACTTCCATTCCATGCAACTGTTCAGTATATCAATTAATTGGAATTCCGAAAGTTGAGCAGAATATTGTTTGGCTCAATTTATTCCTATTGAATACGCTTCTGTTATTGTATACAGCAATGAGTAGGAATGTTATATTGGCTTAATTTAGCTTATTAACAGAAAACAAGGATATCAATGTTGAAACAAAATGTGCAATTCTGACTGACCTGACATCTGCCCCCTCTGAGCGGCTTAAAACTATGAGCTATTGATGTATAAATTATAAATTCCTGTGAATTTTGATTTCTATTTATGTGGAACAACAATGTCGAACGTCATCCTGCGTGTTTCCTTTGCTTTGCCTTTAAATGTCCAAAGCTTAAATCATTTATATCGTATTTTCCAATAATCATCTAAATCCAATTAGTTTCGTTCGTCTGAATAATTTGCCATTTAATTTTACGCATGACTAATTAATGATGGCTCATAAAGAATACAATTCAATTGTTTTATTTAAACACTTTCATATTGAATGTTGTTCTTTCGCTCCATTTAATGCCAATTTGAAATGCAAATCAAGCAAAATAGATGATGAAATTGACATCAATTTGTGCTGCATAAGGGGTGTTTATTTAAGAGTTACACATGTTTTAATTATAATAAAATAAGTAAATATATTTCTAGTATCAATGAAACAGGTCTAAATCGATGCACAATTTCATGGCATTGATAAACTAATATAATTTGGTACATATAGCCATCATAGCCAGCGCGTAAAAGACATATATTCTGGAACATCGATTTTTAATGACTCCGTTGATGTTGCTTATTTACAAACAAATTCAAACAAAAGGGGACCTCATCATTGTGTACGCCATAAAATACTTTCGAAGCGAATCGAACATTAAACAGTTTGTAAGCGTTACTCAAGACTAAATCCAGTCATAATAAAATGCCGAATTAAATTCAACAAAAAGCAATAATCAGCTTTTTAATAAGTTATCAAAGAAAGCAGAATTTGAATTGAATTCAAAGTTATCGACGTCTAAAGAAAACACCCTTTATAACAGCAATTAATATCATCTAGTTGATGTGCTTCCAGTTGGAAATGGAATTCTTTACAATACGAAGTAAGGAGCACAATTTATAGAAAAATATGTTTACCCATTTCATGGTTATCTAATTCAAATTTTAATTCAAATTTTATTAAGAGTTTAAAATATGCTAAACAAGTTGAGTTATTTACCAAACCATTTCCATGAAAATGAATCAGTTTAAGTAAATTTTTCACATAAAAAGCTACGTTTTAGGCTCATAGAAAATGCAAATTTGAATGCACATTGAGCAAATCGGTCAATAGCAATGAGTGGCCTAAAGCTTTCTGTTTCAGAGGTTTGACAGAATCATTTGCAGATGGTACAGGCGCATCCACAGCCACTCAACCACATTGACACACACACACACACATGCTCAGTTCGTTAGCTGCCAGTCGCAATGCTGCGGAAAGACTTTCAATGGTTGACCACAGAGCAGCTCCTTTGGCGAGATAACCAACAGCTGGCATGGCCACTTTGCATGGCATATTCTAATCTGGCATAACATGGCTTATCAATATGGCACTGAGCCTGAGTCTCCCAATTACGCAGGCAGTTTTTATGAATTGCATTGATTATTTAAGGATTTATAATAATCTTTTAATTGCTTATTTAATTATGTTTATATATAAATATATATCTAAATACTAAGACAAATTCTCACCTGCTGCACTTTTCCTGGTTCACTTTGATAGGCGCCTGCGTGATACATAAAATCGATAAATAATCCACAAATTCTCCGGAAGTTAGCTTAAGGCAGGGTCAATCGATTTCCATTCATGTTAGCATAGTCTGCCAGCTGAGGTGATACAGGTGTTTTGGTGGCTGGCAGCGGACAGTCATTGTCCCGTTGTTCGCCTACATTTACATCGAGCGGTTTGCATTTACAACTTTCGTATTTCAGGACAATGCTTGGCATTTTTGCTTTGTCGCCGCGTTCGACACTTGTTGGATTTGCCAATTGTCACTGCGGGCGGAACGATGCTAGAAAACAGTTTGCATTTTTCGCTTGCAGCACATTCAATTAGTTTGCGAGTGCTTGAGGCATTCACACTTTATTGACCATTTGTGTGGATTACGGGCACTTCATGTGCTGTGGCTGAAATCGTGCGAAACTGTTGATTGCCCCAAAGCAAAGGGACTGCGCCCAGAATATATTTAATAACGGCACAATTATGGCCAAAGAATTTCAATATAAAAATCACTTTGACAATCTGAAATGAGGGAAATGGTTAAAAAACCATGAACAAGACTTTATTAAATGTTTTTAATTCTCGGATTTTGTAGAATTGATAAATATATGATATATATATAAATATATAGAGCACATATAGAACAGATTCACCTTCAGCTTAATGCACGTTTAAGGCCGCACTATTTGGCCCATTTAAAGAGGTTGTCAGATGTCAGGCTGGCATTTCGCACCGATTCGTCTACCTGCCAGGTGCAGACCGATAACCTTTGCCATTTTGATTGATAACTACTTATTGCTGCAGGTAAATCCTATCTGTTAACCGTATCCGTAGCTGCAATGGCTTGGGTTTATGTCAGGAAATTGAAAACTGCTAGCATTGAATTTATGCGAAATATGCCGAGAGCCAACGGAAGGAAACTAATTTATGCCGCACTCGTCTGGGTCCCACGTGCATTTCAATTGAAACAGCAACCGAAGCAAGCACACGACATACGATTTCCAATCTTCCTGACTCTGTGTGCAAAATTGGTATATAACAACAACAGAGTAGCAAATTGACGGCAAACAATTACCAAAAACTCAACTGTCAAAGTTTGCTGAATGACGAAACAAGCGCCAGATGTGTTGGCGAAATTTGGCGGGCAACAAGAGCAGTCAAACACATGAACATATATATATGGCATTAGACACAAAGGCACGTGCCAGATGGGATGCAATCCCATTGTGCTGACACGTTGCCCGATCTGCTCTCATCCACAGCCTAGCAGTCATATGATTTATTGAGTTCAACTGTTCCTTGCGGCACTGCAAAATAATAATAAACAAAAAAGGAAGCACAAGGCACAGAATTAAATTCTACCCCTGCACTCGAACACACATATCACACTCAGTCACAAGAGCTTCTGTGTGTCACGCTGCGTATGTGTGTGTGTGTGCGCGCCTTGAGTAATCTAAGCAAATGAACTGCATCACGCAGCTGCCCCAAACGAGAAAATTCAAATTGTATCTGCAGAACATGCAACGGCGACACAAATGAAATACAAAAACGGCAGACAAGAATAAATTATGTGCCCCAAGTTCAAGTTGAGTGATTTCTCGTTGTGGTGTTGCCATCCGATATGCCATCCTTGAATTCGGTTGCTGCTAGCTGACAGGGGAGTGTTATGGTGGAGAGAAGCCCAGCGCTTTCAACAGACTAAAGTCTTTAAATATATTTCAAATTCGAAATATCTGTACAAAAATATTAGAATTATATAAAAAAATTAAGAAACATATAACAAAAACAAGCAACTCAAACAATAGGCAAATTGACATGAACTGGAGCAGAGCTCTGTTTAGACTGTCAGCTCCATCATCCACAGACAATTTCAGACTTGTCTCACGCTCTCTCTCTCTCTCTCTCCTTCCTCGAAGTTTGATGAATAAAGGCGAACAGAGCCAAAGTCAATTTTGTTCGGAATTTAAGCTACGTCACGTTTCATAGCAAGAAACAAATTTAATAGCAAACCAATTTTTATAAAAATACACTTAAAATTAAAATAAATAATAATAATATTATTTAGAAAAATTATAAAAATATAACTTTTTTAATAAAAAGAAACCAGTAAATATTTAAAAGAATATATTTATAAAAGTGAAATATTTTTAATTTCTGAAGCTATTTTCATTAAAAATTAATCTGCAAATCAACGAAAAATTAAATATATAAAAAAAAACTTCATTTCTATTTGTTAGTCAGAACTATATTTGAAAATGTAATATTTAAAGCCAGCAGCTCAGACGCTTACCAAATCGGATTACTTAAATACTGATTCATTAGCTTTCGTACTTTCTACTCCTAAAGCGATTTAAAGCTTTTAGCTTAAAATTCTTTAACCACATTTACATGCGTAAACACAGAAGAAACAGGAAAGCAGGAAACGTGGAAATGCGAATTGTCACTTAAACAGCTGACAAAGGGTGTGTTAGTGTGTGTGCAGTATTTTTTCAACACATCGTTTCGTTTGATTTTGGATTTTGCTTTTTGCTTTCCGCTTAACGCAGATCTTGTCAACTGCGCTTTCGATGCTTACGTTGTTGTTGTCGCTGCTGCGTTTACGTTTGTGTTTACGCTTACGTTTATTGGCGCCTAGCTGCGTCGGAGTCAACAGCGACGACGCGTCGTCGCCAACGTTGGCTTCGCGTCGATGCGTCTTGCCGAGTTTGGGAGAGGGTTCGTGCATTCAGTTCGGTTTTCGACTCGAGACTCGACGCAACACGGCCAAGCAAATCGCGCGTTTTCAACTCTTTGAAAAAATACAAACAGAAATACAAATAAATATATTTTCTAAACGCATCTCGGATTGGGCGACTGTAATTGAACACAATTAGAAAAAATAATAATTACATTATAATTGAATTGCCAAAAGTCGCAATAAATACAAAAAAAACCCTCCAATTGTGCAAGCAAACCATTCAAATTTCTGTTACACAAACTACCTAAAGTTGTCTTTATAAATAGCCATTTGTGCCAACTAGAAAGTGAAACTGAAAATAATTCGAATACAGATTGCCAAGTGCGTTCGATTCCTTATCTGCTCAAACGTACTTGACATTAATGCCGAACACACAAACAGAATTGTATTTTTATCTTCTCAAAGATATTATGAGCATTCCGTTAGATATTTTAATACGAAGCTTCATTATTCAACAAAATCAAAGTGTGCGTACTCAAAAGTCAACAAGTCTTACTTTTATGTCCAATAAAAGTTACCAACTGCAGATGCTGACAAACGTGGCTCATTGATACTCTCGTGGAATTCTTACTGCCATCAAAATAGACTTTAATAATATTAATAATTTCAACTTTTTTATCTGTATCACATACTGAATATAAAGGGAATACAAATATCAAAGGCAATGTGAATTGTTTTGGTTTTACTTGAATTTCTCATATCTAAAAGTAATTTTCAAAAAACAATTAGCCTTTCGCCTATTAGACAAATGTCTTCTAAGTCTAAATTTCTGCTATGGGAAAACTAATTCTTGGGAATTACCAACTAATTGCCTTATAATCAGGGTGTCAGTCGTAGAAACTCTATTCTGATCCAAATCACGCAACAGGCGCCGCTTTGTCTCTACGTCGATCGACTCGTCGAACTTGAACATTTTGCTTTGTATTGGGCTTATGTGTCTCTTAAATACTCTGCACCCAATCCAATGTGTCCAGGTTGTAGGCATTTAACTAAAAACTAAAATAAGTGAGTTTAAAAGCAACAATGAATACTTAGAGCATTTGCTTAGAGTACACGACTTAGTCAAGTTCTGCTTCATTGAATCTGATTTATTGCTGCAAATGAAATTAAGAAAATCTTTCGAATTGATGTAAATTTTGTGTTATTACAAATTTGTTGTATAAATTGTTCCAGTTTTAGTTTTATAATGCCTAAATTACTTGTTTAACAAATAGTATATAATAAGACAAGTTTCAGTCTCTTAAATGTGTTGAGTGCAAGAATTTATTATTGTTTTTAAATATTTGGTATATAACAATTTGTCAATAGCTTTGATAGTTCGGAAAAGATTGGAGAATAAAAATGTAAATTTTATTACTCTAATAGATTGGCTGATGAATAGTTAGATTTTGGCAGTTTGAATGTGTAAATGAATGAGATTTAAGCCAAATACATTAACACTTTAGTGACAAAATCTTAAGAGCTGTATTTATACACTCCATGAGAGAGCGAATCAGGCCGTTTCATAACAGCAAAGGTAATAATTTGATGTCAGCTCAAAAGTAAATAATGCCATAAATTATTTATGGATGGAAATTAAAAGTTCAGAATTTCATGAATGCAGCCCGGGCAATCAAATGTTTTATTAAATCAATTTCACGCGTGCAAGGTATCATTAAAGTTTATAACTCATGGGATTACGGCAGACAGCGTCTATAATGTGGTCATTGAACTATTTGTAATGAGACTCAATTAAAGACTCAAATACAAATGCAATTAATGTATTCAGTCTTGCTAGACGATTCAAAGACACTTTGCAATTGCAATTCGATTTGTTGTTTTCTTCTTTTTTCATAATTTCATATGCCACTTGCAGAATTCCATTGAACTATTGTTATACTTTTATTGTTTCTGTTGCTTAACATGCGCACATAATACTTTCAACTAGCGCTAAAAATAATAAATAAAAGTGAAAAATATGCAGCTCAAATTTCACTGTAGAGGCCGACGCAGTTTGCTTAAGCAGCGATCACAGCCAAAACAAAAATATTATCCCACAAACATTGACATTATTGAAGACTGAGAGAGAGAGAGAGAGTGAACAATATTTGGGAAGCTGAAGAGGAAGTGATTGGACTCCATCAAAGTTAATTGGCAAAAATAAGATAAACGCTGATAACTGTGTGAATTTCGTTGGTCCAAAGATGAAATTCTGTAAACAAGTCAGCAGTTGAGTCATGATGGATGGTGAGATGGATGGATGGATTGGATTGTATATTAAAAGCTCATAATTCATGAGCTCTGTGAGAATCAACAATTAAAACGCAGCTCAGCTGTCAATAACTGTTCGCGGCTCTAACGGCACAGCAACAAGCCAACGCTAATGACCGCCAGGCCATCGTGGGGCTTTACGCCCGCTGTGACGCTGGCAGGCGATCGATCTAATCCACGGCACGTGTAAGCTCTTAAGATCTGCTTCTTTCCAAAAATAAAAGCAACAATAGCGACTGTAGCCAAGTAATAATAACCATGAAAAAATTGGCAACAAAACTTGAGTAATGCATGAACACGGTCTCCCTCTCAGTCTCTCTCTCTCTCTCTCTCTCTCTCTCTGCCTCTCCTCTCCCCATGCAGTATCTTTTTGACCCATATTCCATGTCCAATTCTATTTAAAAATAGACGTATGTAGGCTTTGGCCAGACATTTGACACTGAGTAATGATTGAAGCCATTCAAATTATTTATATAATTTTGATCGTGTTTTAACTGGGAAAACAACTAAAAATGTTTTTTAATGTTTTTTATAGATATATTTATATATAAAGATATATAGATAAACGCATGCGTTTCACACTCTCCACATTTCACACAATTTCTTTATTTATGCTCTTATTATCGTTTGTTCCACCTTCGGTTGCAGGTAATACAACTGACAAATCAGTCTACCTAGAAACTTACTATACAAAGACCAAGTTCTTGCCTTAGATAGCAATTTATAATTAAAAGCAATTGACTTATTTATACCTTATCTTGCCTCGGCGCCATACGCGGCTCACCTTTTGGGGCATCGAGCAATAACCCCACAGGTGACAAACTAATCCAGGCAGTCAATTGTGTCAATGGCAAATTAAAAGTCTTCAAACGAGGTTTTCTTTATTTTTATAGCAGATCAAAAGAAAACAAAGCAAAACAAAACAAAACAAAACAAAACCAAAAAGTTAACTTACAACTCCAATGCCGTAGGGCCTCTTTAGAAATGTCTATGGCAATCTTTTGTTGCAAACTTTTTCCTTTAGATACTCAATGTTTTAATACTATTGTTTACTGCGACCAGCCGGCATGCCTTGAGGTCATTTCGTTTTGCGACTATTTTTGGCTCAGCTTTCTGTGACTTAGCCATAGATTATCAGCTCTCGGACATATTGTGTGAAATCGCAGGGGCACGGACATTTGGCGAGCGAAAATCAAACAAATTGCATATATAATTTGTCAGTCAAGTTAAGGGTCTTTTGTACCTTAAAAGCCCTACACCTTTCCACTCGTTTGCTTGTTTGCTGGCCAAATGTGATTTGTGGGTTAATAAACTTGGACAGGCGGACGCCGCTTTTTATGCCAATTCATTCTTTTCGTTTTGTAACTCTGGACTATTATTTACTTTGGTAATTGCCGTTAAATTTGTAACAAATTTCGATTGGTTTCGATTGTAAAAGCTCGTCCCATTCAGCACCGGCTAGACATCGTGTCTTCCTGGACACTTTCCATTTGTAATTTAATTTTAAATTTTAGCTACGTGCCCGCATTTCGCTTTAAATTCCCCAAAGCGCATTAAAATAGCAACATAAAAGCGAAGGTCAAAAGAATTGTAAACGCCGTAGCTGGTTTTATTTTTAGCCCTTTTGTTTATTTATTTGAATTTTTATTTATTTATTTTGAGCTTGTCAACTTCCAGTCATAAATTATAAGTCTGTATTTTAAGAAATCTAAACAGAACGAGTTATTCGGCTTTGTTCTTGTCTTTCGACTCACAAACTTTCGCATTTACGTTAAATATAAAACAATATTCAAGAAATAGAACTTTGACAAATGTGGAAAAACTTTTCAATTGTCAACAATTTATTGAGTTCAATGCGCCTTCCGAATATTATTATGCACACTTGTTTTTGAGGCACAAACAAAGCCAAATAAATAATAAATAAAGGTGCAATACAAACTGCAACCTCAATAAATAATTCACAAAATATGTTTTTAACGATACAAAATGTGTGCAAAATTATAATACGAATAAAAAAACACAAATGATTGTAAAATAAAACAAAATATAAGTGAAGAGTTAAAAAACAATGAAATACAATTCAAAAAGCCTGCAGAAAACAAGAATTTAGCAATAATTAACTTAATGTTTCTTAGCCAGATCTTAAAATAAAAATGCAAAATTAAAAAAATAAACAATGTAAATAATAATGAGATCGACTTCCATAAAAAAGTGTTACGCCTGTCAAGCACTCGAGTACGAAGACAAAGCCGAAACGAGATACACTTAAAAAAACCAATCACCATATAAATCACAGTACAAATAGGGGGAAGAACCGCAGAACTTTAAACACATCGAAGGCAACTCAACTCGTCGAGCTGTCGCAGAATGTCCTGCAACATTGTGCGGCAGCCACAAAAACAAAGTCAAAAACAGAAACAAAAATTTCTACAGTTGCTGTTACTGGCGGTGCTGCTGCTGCTGGTGCCCAGCCAGAGAGCTGGACCAGCGCCTGTCTACGCCTGGTTCTACGACGTGGACAGCGCTGCGAGCGTGGCCAGCATCAGCACCATTTCGGATGTGCACAGCTTTAAGGTTCCCGAGACGCGAAACTCGTACAAATCGCAGCGGACGCAGCTGGTGCAGCAGTTTCCCAGCGCCACCAACAGCCATTGGAGCCATCATCATGGCGGCCATGTACTGCGCCGTCAGCTGGTATTCGTGGCGCTGCTGCCCTCAGTGGAGTCCGACAACAAGAACGACTGCATCATGCCGAAGGTGCTGCCCGTGCTGGAGCTGGGCATTGGGCATGTGCAGCGCATGGGCTTCGTTGGAGGCGTTCAGATTGACATTACACTAATATCACGCGACACGTTCTGCTCCTCCACCTATGGGCCGCTGGGCTTCTTTGAGATCTACACGCAATGGCCGGAGATGAATGCAATCTTCGGCTTGCCCTGCGAGTATGTGCTGGCGCCTATCTCTCGCTACGCAGATGTTTGGCAGATTCCACTACTCACGACCGGCGGCAATGCCGGCGAGTTCAGCAAAAAAACGGAGAGCTACTCAACGCTGACCCGGCTAAAGGGTGCCCAGGTCAACAACCTGGGCAACATGGTCCGCGCCCTGCTGAACACCTACAACTGGACACGCACTGCGCTGATCTACCAGAACGAGAACGCCAAAATCAAAGGCAACTCAGTGTGCTTCCTCTGCCTGGCTGCCATCCATGCCACCATCGAGAAAGAGTCAGTTTATCAGCTTGGCTTCGACTCTGCGCACTGGACCAAAGCGTATATCATACGTCTGCTCCGGAATGTCGCCATGCGAACAAGAAGTAAGTGAACCAGTCTTAGGCACCAGAGCTTCAATCCCTGCAGAGGCTTCGAACAGCCTTTGAAAGCATAGATAAACTTGGCTTGTGTAAATGTAGCAGCTTTTGCTGTTCGACTGATGCTTAAACCTTTTAAATTTGAAATTTATTTGTTGTACATTTTTCTATACTTAGAACTTGCTATTGTTTTATATTTTTCACATTTATTCCGATTGCAAATTCGATTCACATTAATTTAAGTTTTTTTAAAGCGAGAGATACAAAAAACTTCAGGTAGATTTTAAGGTAGAAAGTAAATATTCTGAGCTATTAGCATAAATAAATAAATTATATAATTCTGACTCATTTGGCTTCGCATCTCATACGTGTTCACATTTGAGTGCAAATCATTTATATTTTTAACCAATCTACTTTCATTCGACTTTAAATAATTCTGCTTAAGTGCAATAAATTTAAGTATATACGTGTAGAAATTGATTCGTTTTGGCAAATGCCAAAAATTAAAATGCAGCTTAATTTCCAGTAATTCTAAGTCGATTACAATATTTCTCTGGGGATACTTTTAAATGACTTTCGCAGATCATAATTATTTTTAACTACATTCAGCAATTGATTCAATTCTTGCGAAAGTTTAAGCTACAAATTGCATTATCCCCACATTTTTTTAAGCTACTTTAACAATAATTGAAACAGTTTCTACTGCATCAATAATCTTAATATTATTCAGTCAACTTAGTTGCTGATCCTTAAATAAAAGTGAAATGAAATTCATTTTCGGGTTAAATTTGGCAAATTTACGAATTAGTTAAGTTATCTAGCGCAAAAGTTTATTGAACTGAAATTCTGTTTGGCTCACAGCTTACTCAAGTATATTTGTTGACAATTTAAACAACAAACAATAACAAATGCCTTGCATTTGCCCTGTCATGCATATGCACAAAGCCAATTGACTACAGAAAGGCGCTAAATAGAAGAAAATTTACAATATAAATATAAATATATAAATATATAAATTGTTTTAAGATAGCAACTGCTGTAGATGATCAATGGCTGCTGAACTGTGCCCAAGTCACAGTTAAAAACGTTTTGTGTACTTTGGCCAGAAATACCGTCAGCTAAGTCAATATGTGCCTGGCCCTTACTGTTGCTAGTAAATTGATCGAAACTCAGTTCAGGTTGAATATAAAGCGGAATATGGAATGCCCACTTAGGGCACTCTCGTCACACTTTCAATATTCTAGACATCTCAAGCCAAATACCATTAAGTCAACATTAACAGCAATTTTTGGTAAATTTAATGTGCCCATTAAGGCGTAATTATGGCCAACAACAAAGCACAATGGCCAATGTATTCCCCAGCCCACAATGAGACAATCGGGCGCACTCTTAGAAGCCGCCAAACAATAGATTCAACAATTGAATGAAGCTATAAATAGCACTCGAGTTCAAGGGCAGATGTTTGATATATTATTATAATTGTTTTCTATAAACTGAATGAATTTGGAATGTGGCCGATTTTATTAATATCCCAGTTATCCGAGTGCTCATTCTCCAAAGTATTTTCAAATTAAATCTTGCGAAACTCAAAAATAAAGGAACCGGATAATAAATATTAAACAGGCTTGACCCAAGTGTTGAACTTGTTATTTTTAACACATGCAACTCGAATTTATAATTTAAATAATTCCCTAAATATATATCTAAATATATGCCGTTCAATACACGCTAATTAGAGCCGATGATGTGATAATTAATTCAATTCATTTCTACACAGTTTTAATGCCCAATAAATTATTTTACTTATTGACATCTAAATTGCCCATTTATTATAAATATTAATTATTTCATATGCTATCTGATCGGTGTTCGTTCGGTTCTTCAACTTAAAACACCCAAAAATCGCACTGACATACATACATATATACATGCACACATAATTATTCCCACACATATATATCCATATATCCATGACTCAGTGCAGTCGGGCTTGCAATTTACATCAGCAGCAACAGTAACAAACAATAATCAGTTTATACTTGGACTCATTCGCAAAGTTCACATAAATATATATATCAATATATATATATATAAATATGTGTGTGTGTGTGTGTATGTATATATGTATATAGCATATACATACATTTGTGCATATATTATCCATTGCATCCCAATTTGGTTTTGGCAGCTTTGTATAATTAAATCAAATCTAGCTTTTGCTCTGAACTTGACTTTGACAAAAAAACTCAAGCGAATGTTATAGCCAAGCAAATACTGCATTAATGTAGCAGAAAAAGTACTTTTATATATTTTATATATTAAATTCATTTATCTGTGGATTTTTCTTTTTAACAACCCAGAAACCAATTCCTATTTCCATCCATTTTTATCATTTCTGTAACACATATATAATTGTTATATATACATTTTAGAACTTCCTTAAAATTTTTCAACTGCAGGGTATACGAAACATTGTCATATCACTAAGGCATTTATCTAATTGCGCTCTGTGTCCGTCTGTTTGCGAATTGTCTTGCTTTTAAATAATTAAACTAATCCTCAGACAGTGGAAATAAATATTCTATGTAACTTTTGCAAATTGCAAGGCAAGGGACAAATTGTCACAGATTATTATTATTGCTAATTATATATTACTACAAAATACTACAAAATGTCACAAGCTAAAACACTTTAAGCAGAACTTTTCTTTTGATAAAGTTATTATTGAACTGCATTCAATAACAAACCAGACTAAAGCAATAAATTGATTCTATTCATGCGAGGTCCATACACATTTGCAGAGGGATGAGCTCGAATTTAAATAAGTCAGATATAAGTTAAGATAAGATAAGAGATGTATTTAACAACAAATTTTAGCAAAAGCTCAGTCTTAAGCATGACCATAAAGTTTTAAAAAACTACTTAAGCTTAAGAGCCATTAAGTCAGATCAACTACATTAAATGCATTCGAATTATCTACTGACGTCAAAGCAGCTGTCAAATTAAAGAATAAACCAAAACAAGTAATAGCATTGCCTTTGGGTACTACCGACCGCGTAATACTTGTTCTAGCTGTGAACGATCTTATTAGATTTATAATATTGATATTTTTCGGACAGAGGGAGTCTATATAATTTATTGGTCTATCTAACGAGGAGCTCATCAGTGATCAAACTGCAAGCCTAAGTGATTTAAGACTATAGAAAATAAACTTGTGATCTTAAGTCGTTCTGCACTTGACCCTCTCAGCAGGTATCCCCCTGTTATTTTTCTATTTTTATTCTGGCTGTACAACTGGCTGTACATTTTATCCCATTGTATAGCTAACTAACTATTTCAAACTACAAGACTCAGCGTCAGCCATTCATTAAAAAATATCGTTTATGTTGCAAGTGTTAATTATAATGCCCGATTTGCCACGCCCACATAGTATAAATGAAAACAAAATAAACTATAAAAATTCAGATCTGAAATCTGAAGAATAAAATCTTAATGACAAGACGCGGAATAGGTGCCACCTCTATTTGTGTTTAATTGTAATCCGAGGCGGACAATGGACAGAAGTAGCTCCGAAACTGAGATTTGCAATTTCGCTTTGATTCTATTTATAACTTTGCTACTTTTTTGCAGTTGTCATTATGTGCGCCGATCCGCAGTCCATACGTCAAATTATGCTGACAGCCGAGGAGTTGAATATGATCGATAGCGGCGAATATGTATTCATCAATATTGAATTATTTTCGCGGTGAGTACGAGCACAAGTATCAAATAAATATATAAATTACTCAGCGCGCTCAAGTGTGGGGCAATAACAATAATAATAACGTCAACAGTCACACAAGCTGATCGCTTATGGCAATCGCTACAGTTTGTGGCCTTTCACTTTGGCGAAACACGCGCACTTTGAATATTCTTTACAAAGTGCGCATAATACATGTTAGCCAAGGTTATTAAAATTATGAAATTTACCAACAAAAATAGCTTTGAGCGATTCCAAAATGCTGACCAGTCGGCAATTAATATCTATTTATAAAACGAGGAAATTCCGATTTTCGACACATGTCTGACTTGACCATTATTGCCTCTAATGGCAAGCAATGAAAAGGAGACAAAAAAAAAACTGAATCGCGTCAACACGCATTCGCTCAACGCCCCCGTCGCTACCCTACTACCGATAGCCAGCTGCTGTCTAATTACTGTGATATTATAAATTAGCTGAGTCATTGCTTCCTCGCACCCACGTATGAGCTCGTCTTTGCATTTGAAATATTAACTAAGCCGTTCTTTAAGAGATTTTATTTATAGTCTGCCAGCTACTTAGTCAAGTGGCATGACAGTTGGCTCAACTATTTAATACCCTGTGGTAGGCGATGAGCTGCTGCAGATTAAAGTTGTCCTTTGTCCTTGGCAAGCAGCAGGACCTTAAGCTGGCTCGACTACGAAATATCCAAACTGCTTAAGCTTGAATTTACTGACTGAATATTATCCTTAGTCCAAGTCCATGACTTCATGGGGGCTCAACTACGAAATATGCTGTAGTCAGCTTAAAGATGAGATCATTTTCTTCCTTCACCAAATGACTTATGTTTTTTACTTTCCAAGAAACCATTTGCTGTCAAGCCTTCCTTTAAAGCTGTGTCCTTACAATTCTTAAATGGTTATAGCTTGAAAATAGTAGCAAGTAGCGAGCATCCATCAGTAATGCAGAGCAGTTTCCATATATAATCAAAGCGGGAAGTTCTTGACACAGCTACACAGATTTGGCTTATTGCATATTTAGTTTTTTTTTGCAGTGTAATCAATGACATTAGGGGGTCGAGCGTACTACATTCGTGTGGCTGTTACTCCTACACCATTGAATAAACCTACTATGCGTTGATAGGTGTTTGTTGGAGGTGGGGTACACAAATAGAAAATATTTGCGAACACATACTACGCGGCAGTGGAAATGGGAGAGCAAAGCTAGGCAGATGGCGGGAGTCTCGTTCTCTTTTGATATGCGACCGAATAATCGCTGCTATTTGTGTATGCATTGCTTGTAAAGGAGGCTAATCGCATAACCCCGGTGAACTTGTAATCGATCGAAAATATAGCGAATGAATAAAAGTCAATCTATGCACTGCAGCTACTATTGCATTTCCTGATACAAGTTCTAAGTTCTACGTACTTTAGCACGAATTGAAACGAATTTATATTCATGTTCATCTATTTCATCTTCTTCAATTCATTCAATGTGGGGGACAGCATAAGCTGAACAATATGGATTAAGCTTTAAACTATGTTTAAATTGTGAAAAATGTATTTTTAAAAATAGTTAAAAGTAAATTGGATTCGCTGTTTCGATCCGGTTTGCCCGAGTTACCGGCTCACTGCCAAACCGGTTCGAATATGCAATTTCAATTTATTTATGTACTCAAGATTTGAAGGGAGTTTATTGGTTTCGCACTACGTCCGTCTGCCTGTCTATATGAATGATATATATCTCCGAAAGTTTTTAAAATAACGCTCCTTAGTGCATGGCGAGTCGGGGAAGAGCTAACAACATTTGATGGTGTCTTTAAAGATTTTATTTAAGTTGAATTGTTCGGTTTTTTGACTCTACTAAAATTGTATTACTTCTAAAAAATATATTTCTTAGTATTTATTACATAAAGTCTATATTTAGCGTCAACACTCATCTCATTCAGCATTACAATATCAGCAAATGCCATACTCTGTCGAACTGAAAGCATATCTTGCATTAATATTAATTCAGCTCAAGCAAAACAATGCGAAATAAATTCAGAGTCTCTTTAAGTAAATAAGCCCTATGTAAACAGAATGATAGATAAAGCAGCTAAAGATATGACACTACATAGACTACATAGACGCCAATATTTATCTTAAAATTGTTCGTGAAAGTCGATAAAATCGAATTTAGAATTTTACTAACAAACATACAAAGAGATGCCCAACTTAAATGTGATTGCAATCTTTTACGGTCAGCCCCGTCTAAATTTATACGACTTCATCTAAGTCTCCGACAACAACACTGTAACTGTATAACTGTGTAAAATATCTAACGAGCTTTAGGCCTCAATAACATAGCTTCACTTGACAAACTTTAAATGTAATTTGCAATAGATTATTGTCACATACAGTTGTGATCCGGAAAATTGTAGAGCTGCGCTTCTTAAAACATAAGCCTCATGGAAAGGTCGACATTATAACATAGGATGACAGCTCAGTCTCAGCTGGATCTAAATCCAATCAAAATTGGGTGCTGTTGAGAGCTGTCAATTGCAAAGCCATCGACTGTGGCAAGTATTTCAGGTGGCATCAAATTTCTCTGAAGCGGTGCAAAGACCTCATCGATTCTATGCCAGAGAAAAGTGAAAAAATGTGTAAAATATTCATATGAATTTAAAGCAATGTTAGACAGTTTTTTTTTTCAATTTTTTGTAGCCACTACTTTTTTTATGGCCAACAATATTTTTTAATTTTTCTTTATCCAGCCCTGTACACAAGCTCCTCAGTTTGGTACCAAAAAATTATCTAAATTAATTAATATGTTAATCTTAAAACTGATTCCAGAAAGTTTCAAAACATTGTACTCATCTCTAAATTCTGTTGTCCAAAATATATATTGATGTATCTAAATATATCATCTGCTAAAATTTACATTTAAAATTAAGTATACGCCACTTTTACTTTTCACAAAGGCACTGCAATGCTAACCAAGAGCAAATCTTACACACATCAGCAGCAGCAGCATTTCGTGTACTTAGCCAAAGGCAGGGCAATCTGTTTACCAACGATAATCGATTTGCTGGAAATGTCACATTCGCTGATTTGGCACAAAGCAGCTGACATTGAGTTGGTAACACAAACAAGCTCTAACTGATAACAAGTACATGCACTAACACTGCGTCTCGAATTGAATAGAAACATATAAATGAAATTAGCAATTCACATTTGAATCGATCCGCAGCATCTAAACTATAGTTTGTTGACACGGCTTGTGGGGAGGTGCAATGGGCACAGGCACAGGGACACATCTAGACACCTACATAACATATGTGAGCACGTAAGCCTAAAACTAGAGAGTCTTTATTCATTTTGCAAAAAAAAAGAGTTTCTATTAATAAATAGTTTATGACGCATATCAGACAAAAGCTAAGCGCATTGATAAGCCGACAGTACAAACTGCATAAAGCCAGCTGATAAGAGGCTTGCATTAAGTGCACTTGCACAGTCGCTTGAGATGCATCTAATATTACTTTGTAATCCCGCTTCGTTATTGCAGCGTGCCGTATATGACGTCGCTGCCCTGGTATGATAAGAACGATACCGAGTTCAACAACGAGCGCGCCAAGAAGGCCTACACAGCCATGTTGACCGTCACGCCGAAGCAGCCCAATGACGACGCCTACACGAAAGTCTCCAACGAGGTGAGTTCCGGCGCCACAAGGCGGCCCATCGAATTTGCATGGCAATGGAAGTCGGCTAACAGGATATAGATTCCTTTTACACAGTTCCTTGCGGCCAATTGCCATTGGCTCACTTGTATTGCCTTTGAGTCTGTTCGAGTCAGGGAGTATGACAGTTTTCTGATGAACTTCGTTGCACGCAAAAATTTACATAAAACCCATATATGTCAAGAATCATATTTGCAATACGATTCTGACTGAAAGAATTTGACAACAAAATCGTAAAAGGGTATTTACAATTCGTTGCTGTTCTCTTTATGCGACTCGAGCTATTTGCTTTCGGACTCATGCATACTCTATGATAGTGTACGTGCTCAGAGCCATCCCAATTTGCATTTATATACAAACGTATAAATGATACATGCATGTGTAAGTGTGCGCGTGTATGTGTGCGTGTTTGTATGTTTGTAGAAGTCGGCGAAATCGTAAACATATTTCTGTATATACACAAGGCAATTACGAATATCGGGCTTGCTCGACTAGGAAATCTCCCTAGCTTACCCATTTTATAAAAATTCATATGCCTTAGTTTTTTCCTTTATCAAAAATAATCTTTAATGAAATAAAAATACATATTATAAAATGTATTTGTTTTATATATAAATAAATATATACATATAAATATATTTTATATATATTTTACATATAAATTATAATATTCATAAAAAATATATACAACCAAATGTTTTACAAATTCAGTAATATGCGCTGCTGTCATCTGCTGGCACAGGGTATATCGTAGTGGTGCCAAGTTTCCTCGCCGAAATGCATTCAATACCCAACTTTTGAGAAACACTTTACCCAGCTCAGCAAAGAACATGTAATTTCTTAATGTCTTCTGCTGTTGTTTGCTTCCTGCATGCGATGGTGTGGATCTATGTCTATTCTGCTCTTGGACTAATCCTAATGACACTTAACAGCTCGCAACCATGAGAAGACGTATGTGCAGTCGAAGAGCATCAGAAACACATTACTCAAATCACACTCCGCCGGGACAATCGAGTGTCACGAAGTCAATACTTAGCGCCAAGGAATCCCAGAACCTGGCAAAAAGAGTTTTACTAGAAAACAATTAAGAGCTTTGAGATACTTTAATGACAGCTGATTACAAGCAAAACAAATTTAATAAGTTCGAAAATAACTACAAAACTGCTAACATGACTTGAATAGTTTTAATTTGTATGCTCTGAGCCCTAATTGAAAATGGTAACTTAGGACATATTGGCTTGCTCAAAGCTTATGTAAATGGACGGAGACGGCGGTTTTTCAGTCTAAGAGGGTGCAATCTTACTCAAATTAATTTTATAAAATGTTGAAAGAATTCAGTAAACTTATATCTGGTGTCTCTGGCTTGAATAGTTTTAATTTGTATGCTCTGAGCCCTAATTGAAAATGGTAACTTAGGACATATTGGCTTGCTCAAAGCTTATGTAAATGGACGGAGACGGCGGTTTTTCAGTCTAAGAGGGTGCAATCTTACTCAAATTAATTTTATAAAATATTGAAAGAATTCAGTAAACTTATATCTGGTGTCTCTGGATCATACAAGTTACTAGATGTACAAAAGTAAATCTCATTTAATATCGTCAACTACTTAGGTTGAAACGAAAGAGCTGATTAGTTGTCTAGATGTAATTGCATTTCATGGAACCCAAAGCAATTAAGCTCCAAGGCTTGCTAAAGCTAAACACTAATGTGCTGTGAAACCCATTCACAGATCAAGGACATCGCCTCGGCCAAGTACAATTACACCTTCAGCGAGAACGAACCCATTTCTGCGTTTGTGACTTCATTCTTTGACGGTGTCCTGCTCTATGCCAATGCCCTCAACGAGAGCATCCGGGAGGATCCAAGTATGCTGACCAGACCCATCAATGGCACTGACATGGTGCGACGCATGTGGAATCGCAGTTTTACGGGCATCACTGGCAACGTGACCATCGACTCGAATGGTGATCGCATCTCGGCGTATTCGCTGCTGGACATGAATCCCAGCACTGGAAGATTCGAGATTGTGGCACATTTTCTGCACAATCGTCTAGAGTTTGAGTCCGAAAAGGAAATACATTGGGCTGGTGGTCGAGATCAAGCGCCACCTGATCGTCCGATCTGTGGCTACGATGGATCGTTATGCCCAGACAACTGTAAGTAAAACATAGAAACTAAATATAATTTATAAAATAGAATGATATAAAAATATTCTCAATACAATAGAATAGCAATAAATCACATTTGTAAGAGGCTGCTAATGCAATCATCTTTCTAGCTTTACCTGGGTATGCCATTCTGTCAATAGTGCTTGGCATAATGGTAATCGTAATGGCCGTATGCTTCTTCTTTGGATATCGGCATTATATTGCCGAAGCTGAGATTAATTCAATGAGTTGGAAGGTATCGCTGGAGGATGTTATGTTTCGAGATGGCGCTGATCATGTGCTGCGTGGCTCTTTCCATTCGCTCGTCAAGCAGAGCTCGCAGCTCACACTGATGTCCGAGGACATGGGCTCCATTAATGGCGATCGCCAGATCTTCATACCCGTGGGCATGTACCGCAAGAGCAAAGTGGCCATCAAGCCGATCGAGCTCGATAATGTTCAAGGCATTCTGTCGCGCAGTCTGATGTTGGAATTGAAGCGCATGAAAGACTTGCAGCATGACCACTTGGTCAAGTTCTATGGCGCCTGCCTGGATGCACGTCGCAGTTTTCTGCTCACCGAATACTGCCCGAAGGGTTCTCTGCAGGACATACTGGAGAACGAACAGTTCCAGCTGGATTGGATGTTTAAGCTGTCGCTGATGCATGACATCGTGCGTGGCATGCAGTTTATACACAGCTCCGACATTCGCTCCCATGGCAATCTCAAGTCCTCCAACTGCGTGGTCGACTCCCGCTTCGTGCTCAAGATCACAGACTTCGGACTACACAGTCTGCGACGCACCTCCTACGATATCGAGAGCGATATTGAGAACTGCAACAGTCATGCGTACTGGAAGAGTAAGTGAGCTCTTGTTCAGCTGCAGTCTACACGATTCATCATTTGTCTACCCACTCTACCGGCTCTTGCAGAACGCCTCTGGACCGCGCCTGAATTGCTGCGGCTCGAAAATCAACGCCCACCCGAAGGCACCCAGAAGGGCGACGTTTACTCATTTGGTATCATCGTGCATGAGATAACCACACGGCAAGGTCCTTTCTATTTGGGCAAGTGTTCGCACGAGAAGACGCCACAAGGTAGGCAAGAGGAAAAAGTACTTCATATCGATGTTTACCGTAGCAGATTTTCTGACTGAAGCATTTAACTAATACAAGATTCGCTGTTACGCAAAGAGTTCAAGTAAATTGAGTAATTGAATTGAGTAAAACATTTCTGCTCCAATTTAGTACAAAATCATAGATTGTCGAAATAATACTCATGCAGTAGTGCTTATATGACAGGGTAAATCACAACTTTCTGTATCGGATGCACAAATACAACTGAACCGGAGCCAATTCCAGTAGTTCATCTTTTTTTGAGAAGCTTTTGACGTTGTCTTGCTGATTAGATCTGTTGAGGGTTTAGATCCTTTGGTGATGTGCCTCAGCCGAGATTGCTGCTGCTCCAGTTTCCATAGCCAATCGATTCTAGACCTATCCCATGATCTCCGGCTGCAAAACAAGTTTCCGCAATCACAACTTCCAAATATAATCTCAGCATCTGTGGGCACTGAAATAGGTGTTGATTGCTCTCAATACAGCCGAATTGTGAACTTTGAACTCCCATACCTATTGACCGAGTCCTCTCTGTATGTTTTCTTTCACGTCTTGTAGCTTTGGCATAAAACAACAAGTTGAATATCTTTGATTCCGTCTCAATCTCACGCTCATAAAACTGGACAATCAAACAGTTTTGCGCACTCTGCTGACGGATGGCCAAGCTGCCATTGTATAACGAGTTTCTCCCCCCTCGCTTAACCATATCCCTAGTAAAACGAATTCCAAATCAAGTCTCTTGGAGTATATATGTGAATGTCTGTTTGTGTGACAGTAAAGCGACTTCATTGGCAGGCATATTGAGTGTAGTCCATTAGACCTGATTCACAATAAAAAACATATCTGACATATAAATCAAACTCTGTTCGGTATCTTTTTTTCAGAGATTATTGAACTGGTTAAGAACTATCAGCCACAGCAGAACAAACCCTTTCGTCCCGAGCTGGAAACGTGTACAGACGATACGAAGGCGGATGTTGTAGGCATCATCAGACGCTGCTGGGCAGAGGATCCCCTGGAGCGACCCGACTTTAATACGCTCAAGTGCATGATCAGAAAGTTCAACAAGTAAGATCCTAAAATAATAATAAATTATCTATGTAAAGTTAAGCTGCAGAGACTGGCTTAGGCTGGTTAACAATAGTATAAAAAGATTCATAACAGATGCTGGGATTAAAGGCCAAGCAAGGATAGTTCCTATACTTCAGTTATAAAATGATTATAAAACCCAAATCGATTCGAGCCTGAGAATCCAATGACATAATTGAATAAGCTTTACTTACACTAACTTTACTAAAGCTCCAACTTTTAGCTAAGGATCGTAAAGTTTCTTAAGAAACTTTGAAACTATTTTCACGCATCGAGTCTTAACACAGGGAGGGGACTTAAAATATGATTTAATCAAATTATTAACAATTCTGGCTTACAGGACCATGAAACAACTGAGTTACACTTATTGCTAGTTTTACTGTTTTCTTATGTTTTATTGTTTACAATTTCTTTATCGTTGACTTCTGCTGTTCGGCATGGAGCAATCGAAAATTGTTGAAAATTTGTGTTACGAAACAATAATTACTGAAAATATATTGTAACTGACTCCTTGCAGGGACAACGAGACGGGCAATATTGTAGATAATCTGCTTAAGCGCATGGAAATGTATGCGAATAATCTGGAGGAGCTAGTCGAGGAGCGCACCCAGGACTATCTCGAAGAGAAGAAAAAGTGCGAGAAGCTGCTTTATCAGTTGCTGCCACAGAGCGTTGCAGCTCAGTTGATCAGTGGACAGCCGGTGGTGGCCGAGACCTTTGACCAGGTGACCATCTACTTCAGCGACATTGTTGGCTTCACCGCCATTTCGGCGGAGAGCACGCCCATGCAGGTCGTTCAGTTCCTCAACGATCTGTACACCTGCTTCGACTCGATTGTGGAGAACTTTGACGTGTACAAGGTGGAGACCATTGGCGATGCCTACATGGTGGTGTCTGGTCTGCCCATACGCAATGGCAATTACCATGCCCGTGAAATTGCCCGCCTCGCTCTGGCCCTGCTCGAGGCGGTGCACAACTTTAGGATACATCACAGACCCGACGATCGCTTGAAGCTGCGCATTGGACTGCATACGGGGCCATGTGTGGCCGGCGTTGTGGGTCAGAAAATGCCGCGCTATTGTCTCTTCGGAGACACCGTGAACACGGCCTCGCGTATGGAGTCCAATGGCGAGGCACTGAAAATTCACATTAGCGAAACCACCAAACTGGCCCTGGATGAGTTCGGCAGCTTTGTGACGACGCGTCGCGGCCTTGTGCCGATGAAAGGCAAGGGCGAAATGTTGACATACTGGCTAGAGGGCGAGGTACCCAAGCCAGATGAAGTGATGTCCCCCAGCAAGCTAATGCTGACGAGGCGCTCATCGCTCAAGCAGCCTCAGCGACAACCGCATTCCTTCCACAAACAATACTCAGAGCTGGGCGTTATGGCCACATTGGCGCCCGCAGTTCCGGCCATAACGCTGCCTGCAGCTGAAAAGAATATCTCGCCCAATCTTCGGGTTAAGCGCAAGATCAGCTCCAGCTCGCCGAAGCTTAACGGCAACTGCTTTGAGCAGCACATTTCGAATCAAAAGACTGAGCCCAACAACTACTATTTGGATGCTGGACAGCAGATGTCGAGTGACATATATAGCAGTCACTCGCTGCGCAGCGAGGAAGGTGCTGCTGGAGCGGGCACAGATGCAAATGCCAGCGATAGCTGGGAGCTTGCCAATTTCCGACTGCCACTCAGCGGTACGCTCAAGCAGCATCACAGTCAACAGGGCCACCACCATGCACACTTACACTCCAATTCCAATTCCAATCTGAGCGGCATCCTGCAGCCCGCGCCACAGACACGAAGCCGCCTGAGGCCATCCCCCACGATCTCAACGTTGTTGAAGAACCATCGCAGCGACAGCTCCGCCGCAGACACTGGCAGCACAAGCAGCGGCCAACGGATCAAGTTTGCTGACTGCGATGCGACTCCACTGATCAGCAACAAGACGCCAGCAGCGCTGCCAGCATCCACTGCTCTCAATCTAGAGCGAAGCAGCAGCAGCTGCAGTAATCAGAACATTCCAAATCTGAGCACTGATCATCCGTATGGGTATCTAGTCAAGAACTATAAACAGCTTCTGTGCAAGCCCACAAACCAAGTCTCGAATAGCCATGGACATGGGCACGATCTGTCCTATGCCGACGAGTGTCCACGGCCTCCGTTGGCTGCCCGTGGAACTGCAAGCAGCGCCGTAACCCAACCACTCTTGGCCAAAATAAACTCGTAGCCGTAAGCACTGAGAGACACTGAGAGACGAACCCTAAAACCCTTCTCTAACTAGTACCTAACCGTAACGATGATGCATATTAAATGTACTTGTTTGTGATAATAAGTTAAAACCAAGTTGAACAATTTAGTTGATAACCCAAACCCACTACTTAAGCACACAAAATGTATATCTCCGTTAAAGCATGCTTCAATTGAACACTCAATATATTATTTACCTAAATTTAGTAGGCAATTTGAAAGTTGTTTTCAAAGAATGATAACTATAAATGATAACTAGAGTTAAGTAGATGTTAGCATTACTGCGATATAACTAGAAACAAAATGTTTTGATATTTTAAATTTAATATATATTTTTAATATAAATATAAGTAGCGAATTCTTTAACAGTCAATGTAAATATTTTATTGTTTTCATTTTCAAACAATTTATTTCTATTTAGTTTTGCCATTAATGAGTGTTCCGGTTTAAGACAAAAAAAACTCAGAAACTTATTAGAAGATTAATATTTTAAAGAAAGCGGATCTTGATTGCTATTAATATAACTAATTATATATATGAAAGTAAAGTATTAAAAAAAATTGCTGTTTCTTAATAGAAATAAATAAATATTTATTTATGAAATTTGAATTTGTTCTATTTTGTAACTCTCCCTCATAATAAAATTACATAATTGTTTTAGAATTACATAATTGTTGTTGTTTGTAAAATATTCTTGCATTTATTTCTGTAATCTCGAAAAATTGACCGCCAAGAACGGAACAGCGTACTCGCCTGCAGTCATTTATCGCCGATAGGTTTCGAACATGCTCAGGCTAACAGTGCCAATTTGAGTAACAGTCCATTTGGAGTTTAAAGTGCAGTTGTGAGCAAAAACATGTTAGTAAGAGTGCAGCTGCTTACTGTTAATTAAAACAATTGCTTAAATCAAAATAGTATAATTGTATTATTATCGAAACCTACGCAGCAGCATAAGTAAAGGTAACAAAATTGTTGATTTTTGCAATAATTTGAGTTGAAAGTTATGAAAAGTGATATCGAAAGACAGTACAATTAAAATTGCATAATTAACAATGCAAATGAATGAATGAGTTGCAAGTTTTTTGTGTTTTGTGTTAATATAAATTAAGTTGTGAGACGAAAATAGTTTAGTTTGTTTTTTTTTTTACTTTACAGCTTTCTGTTACTGATAATTTCGGTGATTTTTTCTCAATGTTGTGAAATAGAAATTAACCGGAAAACAAACGCCCATTTAAATAAATCGCTCCAATTATTATTAATAATACAAAGTGTGATATGTAGTATATACATATTCGTTTAATCAAAACTGATTCTATATATTCACAAACACACACTCTTTTCTATGTCACAAAAATTGTTTCCAGTTTGTTTTGTCATAGTCTGCACCCGGGGCTCTTATCGTCGTAGTAATTCCCACTATTTGCGCACGTCTTTTAATTTATATCACGATAAGTTCAATGTTGACCTGTGTGTATCTATCTAATCAATACATAAATAGTACATTTCATTAATACTGCAGGGCGCCACGCAACATGTTGTATTGTCCGCCGAACGTAACGTTCAACGAGATTTGGACCAAACATGGAATCTCGCACTGTTTTATGGACACCGTGGGGCCAGCGATCTGTGGTGGTTTTCTTCTTCTCTTTGGCGGCATCCAGCTACTGATGTACCGCAAATATGCGACACCAACTGATCCTACACAGATCACAAAGTCCCGACTTTATGCACTTCAAATGTTTCTTCTTCTGCTCGTGCCGGTTCTGGCTCTACTGAGATTCTTTCTTAACGCTCGTATCTATCCTGACGGTGCAATTTATGGCTATATGGTTTGTATAGATTTTGCCATTGGTTTGAATATATTTTCTCATTCATTTCATTCACAGATATTTTACACAAGCGTTGTTTGCTTTTCATATCCATTTTGTATCTGCCTCATTGTCAAGGAGCGTCACTATCAACTGCCATCATTACCGACACGTGGTCATGGCCTTATATTATTGCTCTTTTGGACTTTGACTTTGATTAATGAAGCGCTGGCCATCGTGAATTTAGACCATGAAGACTGGTGGTTCCACTTAAAAAAGTTAGTTTGTCTAAGTAGTTCATTATCCATAAGAAATTAGTTTTATTTATGCCTTTATCTATAGTAACAAAGATGAAATTGAGATGGGCATGTTTGTTACTCGGTTCTTGTGCTCTCTGCTCATCTTTGTGCTCGGCTTGAAGGCACCCGGCATCATGGCACCCTATAATCCGCACCAACGTCTAGATGACTCATCAAGCAACTTAACTGGCAGTGTGCCAACTGGCTCTGCGTTCCGCAATGGCTGGCGCAAACTACGCACCCTATTTCCATATCTGTGGCCCAAAAAAGATAGGATGCTGCAATGCGCAGTGGTTGTTTGCATAATATTGCTTGTCGCTGGTCGTGTTATCAAACTGTTTCTGCCCATTTATCGCAAGCTGTTGGGTAGGTCATGTTCTCAGTTAACAAAAATGGCCTCAATAATCTACAATTTCCTTTTCTCCTTCTTTAGTTGACAGCCTGACCATCGAACCCATTGAGTTTCGCTGGGACTTTGTGCTTATTTATGTTGCTCTATCATTCCTTCAGGGCGGCGGGACTGGCGGCATGGGCTTGTTCAATAATCTGCGAACTTTCCTGTGGATTCGCGTGCAGCAGTACACAACGCGTGAGATTGAGATTGATCTGTTTAGACATTTGCATCAACTGTCGTTGAGGTGGCATTTGCAGCGGAAGACGGGAGAGGTGCTGCGTATCATGGATCGCGGCACAGATTCAATTAACAATCTGCTCAACTATATTGTATTCTCCATAACACCTACCATACTTGATCTGATAGTGGCTGTCGTGTATTTCATTTATGCCTTTAACTGGTGGTTTGGTTTGATTGTATTTCTCACCATGTTCTTGTATATAGGTAGGTCAGAATCAACTTGAAATTGTTTCCTGATTATTAAAATGCATTTTCTATAGCCTCGACAATTGCTATAACGGAATGGCGAACTCAGTACCAACGACGCATGAATCTGGCAGATAATGAGCAGCGCGCCCGAAGTGTGGACTCCCTGTTGAACTTTGAGACAGTCAAATATTATGGCGCCGAGGGCTACGAGGTGGATTGCTATAGGGAGGCTATAATGAAGTATCAAAAAGAAGAGTTTCTCTCCATGCTCACACTAAACCTGCTCAACACCGCTCAGAATATTATACTCTGCTTGGGCCTACTCTCTGGCTCACTGCTTTGCGTCTATTTGGTGGTGCATCATCAGACGCTGACAGTAGGTGACTTCGTGCTCTTTTCCACGTATCTCATGGACTTGTACATGCCATTGAATTGGTTTGGAACATATTATCGCGCTATACAAAAGAACTTTGTTGACATGGAAAACATGTTTGATCTGCTTCGAGAGGATGAGGAAATCGTGGATGCGCCTGGCTGTGCACCACTGCTAACTGCTGGCGGTGCAATCGAATTCTCAAATGTTACATTTGGCTACACACCAGATAAGCTGGTGCTGCGTAATGTAAGCTTTACTTTACCTGCAGGCAAGACCATTGCTATTGTTGGTCCATCTGGCGCCGGCAAGAGTACCATTATGCGATTGCTCTTCCGATTCTACGATGTACAAACGGGTTCTATATCCATAGATGGACAGAACATCAAGCTTGTTAAACAGCAAAGTCTGCGAAAGGCAATTGGTAAGTACAAATTATAAAATCGCTTAGCAGAATCCTAACTAATTAATATATCTGCTTTTTAGGCGTTGTTCCCCAAGATACAGTACTATTTAACAACACTATTTACTACAATATTGAATATGCCAAAATAGGCGCAAGTCCTGATGCAGTTTATGAGGCTGCGCGATCAGCGGATATACACGAAAGAATATTGGGTTTCCCAGATAGATACGAGACCAAAGTGGGTGAGCGAGGACTGCGTCTAAGTGGTGGCGAAAAGCAACGCGTGGCCATTGCACGAACTCTTTTGAAGGCACCCATTATAGTGCTGCTGGACGAGGCTACTTCTGCGTTAGACACGCACACAGAACGCAACATACAGGCTGCGTTGGCACGGGTGTGTGCCAATCGCACAACAATTATCGTTGCACATCGTTTGTCCACCATCATACACGCAGATGAAATATTGGTGCTAAAAGAGGGCAGCATTGTAGAGCGTGGCAGGCACGAAGAACTGTTGCAAAGAGATGAAGGCGTCTATGCAGACATGTGGCAACAGCAGCTGAAAAACTTGGATGCCGAACAGAACGCGAATGACAGTTCCGAGTCAATTGTAGACGAGGGTCCATCAACGACTACAACTGGAACAGCTGGACGGCCGCAAGCGCCGTCTACATCTGGCAGTGGACCTGCCTTTAGATCGGGGCATGGGCATGGAGGAGGACGTTAAGAGTTGAAAATATAAAACTTAGATCTTAGGCCTAATTTTGATTATTTTTGTTAAATGTAATTTGTGGTACTTGTATATGAACTACTTGTCTGATTCCTAGTTCTTGTCTACTTTAATGTAAAAATAGAAACATAATTATAGTTTTTATAAATTTAAATAGCTTTCTGTCAATCCTTACCCCTTCACTCTTACACTTATTTGAAGAGCGTCAGCAAGAGAGCCGCTCTTAATATCTCTCGAAAACTGATGCTGCTGCTGCTTATCGGTAAGAACCTCCAGCAAGGCCAGAACATCGGCTTGAGATCGGCACCAGCTTCAGTTTGAGTGAGGAACGCGAGCGAAGCAGACGTAGAATTTAAGTTGTTCTGCAATACGTTGGTGATAAAGAAAATCGGCGGCTTCTTTGCAACGATTCCTAAATTACATATATATATTTATATATATACAAAGTTGATGCGATATCAGAGCGAGGCGTGTAAATTGTGTTATTAAATCGGCATATTCACGAGTCTTTATTCAGCGAATCATGCGACTGAAGTGTTCCGTGTTTGTGTGTACGTAGAAAGTAGAAAATAACCTAATTGATAAACCCAGGGACCGCATTAAGTTTATTTATTCAGGAGCATGACGTAATGTTTCATTGAATAACATTTAAAACAAAAATAATAAAAAAATAAACCACCAGCATATGTATATTTAATAATAGTATTGATTAAAACGTTTTTTGCTCCGTGATGAGCACGTAAATAATCTACAGATATACATATGTATATATATATATTTACATATATATACATATACATATATATTTCTATATAAAAGCATATAGACTAAATTCAATTGATAAAGTGTATTGGATGCTGTTGCCCCCGGCATGGACTGTCATCAAGTTTATTGCCACACACAACAATTTCTTGTTGAATGCAAATGCTCAACACCATTTTCAATTTTCAGTTCTATTTTTGGTAATCGATGTCGGTCGTGCATTCAACATAATTGGCGTCAATAAGCAAATGCTCTACGAATATGTGGGCAATGTACTGGTTGGCTCCAAGCCACAGGACGAAGGACGTCCGGCACCGCCAACAACTGGCTGGATAGTACGTGGAAAACTCACGCTCCAACGACAGAGTGAACTTGTCATGGCAGCCGCGGTGAGTCAATATATTATATATTAGCTATGTTAACCTAAATATGGGTATATATATATACAAAGGGTATAATGAAGATCCCTTATAGATCCCTTGAGAACAAAGACTCGGACTTATGCAAATGAATATCAAATACAACTATTCAACTGAATGTACCTGAATAAATCTTTTTGCAATGCATACAAGATTCATTTATATATTTATATATATATATAAATATGTATACACATTATTATTTACAATGCCTTCAAAGACTATGAACTAGAATTAATTGTGTTTTTTTCAAAGTATAATTTGTTTACAGCAAAGACTTAAAAAACACAAAGCTTTCACTTAAAAACAAATGGAAATATATATATATATATATATATATATATATTTATATATATAATATATATGTGTATGCATACATATGTATGCAATCAGATACGTATGTAACATTCATACAAATATATGTATATACATTAATGCTCAATTAAAGTTCAACAAAACAAAAATCAAAATTTTTATTGATTTCATTTTCAATTTGTACAATTCAATCAAGCTCGAACAGTTCCAACTCTGAGAGACCCCAGTTGATGCCCAGAAGTGCTCAGCTGCCGCAAGCTCAAGTTTTTGCAGACACTCTTGCAAAAGAATTCGCAGATGAATTATAAACAATTTAACCTTTCCACAGTCCCAGTGCACAATGAACTGAACTCGGCTGTGAACTTCTTTCATTGAGACAGATAAAATGATGCTACCAGTATACCCACCCATACATATGCTATACATGAACATACATACACATACACACACACGCACACACATGTAAATGATGCACTGTACATAGTAGCATATACATACATATATATATACGCGGAGTAATCAGCTTAGATTGTTTTGACTGTGGACGTGGGGGAAGGGATCACAAAGCGGCGCTATGCTTATCAACAGACACAGACAGAGGCTGAGGCAGAGACACAGACACAGACATATGTCTGCCATATGTAACATGGCTCAGTATTCCCGCTGAGTCTGACTAATCTTTATACCCTTCCAGACGCTATTATAATGTTCTCACGAAATGTGTAGCCCCATACATATGCACACTTAATCTGTATCAAAAGCTATGTACTTATCACTATATCCGTTCATTTATCTCTTTTTGTGCAAACTAGTTCCTCATCTTTTGCCATATATGTATGTAGCTATCGTCGGGAACCGTATTATAAGTACTTCTTGGAAGCGATCAATTCAGAATTGAGTAAAATTATGAGATATTTGATTGGTTTTTAAATAGATTTTTAGCAAAATTTGACATAGATGCGATTCGCTATAATAATATAAATTAATAATATAAATTTTATATTCGACAAATAAGTTTTTATTTTTTCGATTTTCTTTTTAAACCATTTAAATTAGTTTGGGATGTGGCTTATGTATGAAAGCACTTCCTAAGTGCATTTAACCGTCGGTGTATAAAAAATTAATTACTTTTTGTTTGTATTAAGATAAACGTAGTCAATCAGCTAAGGCAGCTGATTGGTGGTAGTAAGAGATTACTTGACATGGGATTTCCCGACCTATACATAAATATTTTAATTAATCTCCCTCTCTCTATCTGTGTTTGTTTTTGCGCAATTTCGATTTAGCTGGTCATAGACGACGTAACACTGAACAATTCTGGCGAAAAGTTTTTGCAGAACAAAGAAATGTATCCGCCCTATAAGCCCTTTAAGATCATCCTTACCAAGGAGGGCACCATCTCGCATGTGGTATTCAAGGAAGGCGATCCCATTTGGTCGATGAACTTTAAACGCGCCATTGCCAGCACACTGCAGTTCCAAATAAAGTCCAGCGGCGCCTTTGTGGTGGATGAGGTTAGAGATCCTTGCCTGCCGTATCCAAACAATCTTCATTGCTATCTGCATTCATGTTTCAGACGGGCATACATGGGCAGTGCCAGACCGAGTATTTTGTGTCGAACAAGACAAACTACATATCCATACGGAAAACGCCCGAGCTAAAGACCTGTGTGCCCTACTCGGAAGCCGTGCACATTACGCGCAGCAATGTACCCCCGAACACGTGTGAATTCGATCACCAGAAGAGCGTCATCATTGGCAATGAGGCAATTTACGGCATATTACCGCACAATGAGACGGGTTACTTCCTCAGCATGGCCCATGCCAAAGGCACTACGCTGATCCACACCTTCGAGTCCACGGGTGAGGCGCAGTACATTAACTCGGAGTAAGTTGATCAGGCACTCCTAGCGAGGTCATTTCTAAGTCATAATTGATTCACAGACTGCTGCTTAACTTTCAAAATGAGACACCGATTGACAACCCCATTGATATTGAGACCTCCATGTCGACAGAAATTTCAAATTTGCAATTGCAACCGATTGAAATCAACGATCCGACTGGCGGGAGAAACCCACAGCAGCAGGAGACTTTGATAGCCGCAGCAGCCGCCCTTCTGGACAACCTGGCCGAGGCGTTAGAGAGCACAGAATTTAAGTTTAATGAGCCCTACGACTCAACACTGTCCGATGTGATAAAACTACTCAGTGAAATGGATTTTGAGTCGCTAAAGAAACTCTACACAGAAGTCGACATAGGCACTTCCTATCGCCAAGAGACGATACGGAACATCTTTCACGAAATCATACCGCGCATCGGCACAAAAGCCTCAGTCTTCCTCACTCGCCACCTGGTCAAGGAGAAGACGATAAAGTCAAACATTGCGGTGCAGCTGCTGATCCCCATGCCCTTTCACATATTCGAACTGTCAGCGGAACTTGTGAAGCAGTGCGAGGAATTCTTGAGTATTGGACCCGATCGTCCGGACGTCCGGCAGGCGGCTATTTTAAGCTTTGCCACACTCGTCTACAACGTTTACGTGGCACGTGGCATTGACAAGGATCAGTTTGAGGAATATGTTCAAAAGTATTTCAACTTGTACTTGAGTAAGTGGCATGAGTCGCAGTCAGCCGATTATAGCTAAGCTTTAAACCTATTTACCTCCACAGACGAGCGAGACTACGAGCAAAAGATGCTGTTTCTGCAGGGGCTTAGCAATCTACAGCTGGGCAATGTGGCCAATTATCTGGAGCCGATCGTGATGGAAGAAGGAAACGAGGATCTAAGGTTCATGGCTGCCTGGACAACACTCGCATTGGCCGACAAGCGGGCCGAACGAATCTACGAGATCTACTGGCCCATCTTTGAGTCCCGTAATGCTAGTCTGGAGTTGCGTGTGGCTGCTGTTACCCTGCTGCTTATATCGAATCCCACGGCAGCGAGACTGATCAGCATTCATCGCATCATACAAAGCGAAACGGATCCACACTTAATCAACTACTACCGCACCACAGTCACCAGTATATCTGAGACAACATATCCGTGCTATCAGCATCTGTAAGCGAACTGAACAGGAAAGAAATCTACTGATTGTAACTGCTCCATTCCTTGTGTCTCACATTGTAGTCGTCGTCTGCTCTCCTACATGCATCGGCATCTTCCCCAGAAACCAGAACCTCGCTATTGGGTAACAGGCAATTACATATTCGATTACCGAGACTCCAAGTTCGGCATTGGCGCAATGCTGCAAACCTTTCTGGTGGGCGATCCAAAGACGGATATGCCCGTTGTGGCATTTTTCAAGTTCGACACTGAAGCGCTGGGCAAGTTTACGGGCCAGCTTGCGGTGTGTAATCTGTCTTTAACCTATTCAAGGTATCCTTTGTGTGATCAGACACTTTCTTTCTTTCAGCTGTATATCAAAGCGCGTGGACTTCCCGATGCTATTTGGCAGACAGTGCAGTCCAAAGCCAACGGCTCCGATCCTCTTACATTCAAGAGCATCAAGACGTTGTTGGCCATGCTAAAAGCTCCCATTGTCAACTCGAAGAATTTGCACATCGAGTTCATACTGCAAATGGAGGGCAAAACTGTGCTCTCCTACTATTTGAACCAGCGCATGTTCCAACAGCTGACCTACGACAACAGTGAGTATGGGTAGCTGGCTAAGCTATATCTATAACATGTTCAGTTTTCTCTTAGAACCCCACCCAACTCTCAATCTCTCTGCTTATTCGTTTAGTTTTGGATCGCCTGCAACTGCTGATCCGCACGGATAGCCACATTAACATGCAGACAGTGCGCTGGCCATTCATGAACAAGTACTCAGTGCCCACTGTGTTGGGCACATCTTCCGATGTGCTGCTACAGACCACGGTGCTCACGTCACTGCGTGGCAATATTACGGAGCATCGGACGCCGCCCGGTACCAAGCACACGCTAGAGATCGATGCACGTTACTCATCGTATGCATCGGTGCGCAGCCGCAGCTACAATCCCTTTCTGAACTTGGACCATGAAATAAAACGGGAGCAAGGCTTCCTCATCTACATACCATTCAGCAGCGAGCTGACCCTGAATGACAGCGCCAGGTGTGCTCGGTATACCTTCTCGCGCCCACAGAATCTGACCAGTGGCTTGTCCTTTAAGTCGCGAGCCGTGACATCAACTCGTGGCCTGGTCACCAAAACAGCGGCCGCACCCTACGAGGAGATTATGTATCCAGAGAGAGGCAACGAAGTGGTAAGCTTTGCGACACTTCGATAGTCTTGAACTCCCGATCAACACCCACTTTTGCAGTTCCAGCCGTTTAGCTATGCCATACCAGACTTGGGCGTCAAATTGAAGGTCAACATAAATCTGAATGAGATGATTAAGTTCAGGGGCATGCTGCTAAAATCCGAGTTCATAGAGAAGTTAGCTTAAGCAGACATGGAATAGATCTTATAAGTAAATATCTCTCTATTACAGTGGCTTCTCCCGCAACATGGTCGTCAGTCTGATGATGTACGTCTTTGGATTTACTCAACTCAGCTCCATCCACTTGGGCCATGATCGCAACTTTACACTCTTGATGTACAATGAAAATGCCACCAAGGTGAGTTGTTAAAATCATGAAGCCCGAAGTAAAGTTTGGATTCATCAGATCGATGGCAATATATGTGTCGAGGACGTGTTCAAGACATCCGAGCTGAAGGGCAAGCAAATAGGATTCACTCTGGAGCACGCGGACGAGACACAGAATGTGGAGTCGCTTCACAAATGGAACGTCACTGTGGACATTCAGACATCAACGAAGTCCAACTGGTTTAAGGTCACTGGCAAAGTGCAAAGGAATTCGAAGGATGACGAGGAGGATTGGAAGGTGAGTGGGTGACAATACTTTCGAAGGGGCTGAAATTTATTAAACCGAATATATTTGTACCTTATTTTAAACAATGTGTTAACCGACAACTCAATTTGCGTAGTAAATTCGCACATCCAGCCCCGTTGAGTGTTGATACTGGTCTTTAAGCTGTTACAATGTGCTAATATCAGTAGACGGGACTAGCCCTCCTGTCCGGCAATCTCCAGCTCCTCTTCCGCATTAATGAGAGCCACAATGCCGTCCTGTAGAGACTTGACCAACTCGAATTCGGTGAAACCCATCAGACGCTTGTTCGAAATGTCCATAACACCATCCTCGATGGCAGTGTGCTCGCCACCTGTGCCTTGCACCTGCAGCGACAGCTCCTCAGCCATTGCCTTCAATCGTTCTTCGTCCTTGCCCAAGAGTGGCAGGCGAATATGCACAGATGCACGCAGTGTGGTGCCCAGATTTGTAGGACTAGCGGTCATATTGCCATAGCTGGAATGACGGACGAAATTCAGATTTTTCTCCAGCTCCTGCACACCGGTGACCAGACGCTGATAGACATCGCCCAGGTCGCCACACTGCGCCGTAGAAATGATGCGCACATGGTCTTCTTCGTTGCACCAAATCATAAACGTCTCGGCGGGATTATGATAGACGCCGCGTCCGGTCGGCCAGAAGCGATAACAACCAGCGGTTTGCAACTTTCCCTCGCCTCGCGGGAAAAGAACGCCACGTTTGACCATTTCCTGTTGCGTCTCTGAATCAATATCACCCATCGTCAGATAAGTGCCAATCAGTTCGCCGTCCATGGTCTCCGTTGCAGCACGGATTCTCTCCTCCACCTCGATCAGCTGCTTCTCTGTCAACTTGGGGAAGAACGGCAAACCCTCAATATTACGCGAAAGGCGAATGCGCGCAGAGAGTATATATTTACGCTCCGCGTCCAGGTTTTCGATCTCGTCTACATTGCCCCAGTCGACGTCCTTTTGCAGCATATCGCTGTCGTTATCCTCCTGACCATGGTATTCCTTGATAATTGGTTCAAATAGCTTAGAAAACACATCGTAGCACTCTGGATCAGCCGCATAAATGCCCACAGGTGAATCATGATGCTCGAAGCCCGATACAGCACAATCATACAGATAGGCATCGACCGGCGGTGGAGTGGTCACCAGCATGTATTCCTCCAGCAATTCAGGCGTGAGGTACTTACGCAAAAGCGAGCTGACATGCTCCTCGTCATCAATGAGTGCCTTGTACCCAGCCAGAGTGAGCTCCTGGTATTCCTCTGGTGATTTCTTGCTGCAAGAGAAGTTGAGAAATAAATCATATTTATTCGAGTGAGGTCCACTTACATTTGTCCACGCAGACGCTCCAACTCCTGCTCGAGGCGGGCTATCGTTGTTTTAGCCTCGTCCAAGTCGTTCTTCATTACATCATACTGAGCATCATCCGGGCAGCTTTCGCACATGAATTTGCGCACAAATCGAATCGCATCTTCGGGCTTATTTTGCTCCTCGTAGAGCTTAATTAGAGCCTTGCTTAGAGCATCGATAACTCCAGCACGTTCCAGGTACTTTCGATATTGCACGCGTTTTGATTCAATCTACGAAAAGACCACTCAAATGATGCAATTCCTAGTTTCACCACCTCTCACTCTCTTTCGCTCTTACCGAAGTCATTTTGCATCCGCTGAACCAAAATTAAATAACCAAAATTTAAACACAAAACAAAGCAGATGCTCAAAACCAAAGCGAATAAAACAGCACGCTTTACAAACTAGAGCCTTCGGATTTTTCCACACTTTACTAATAAAAAAAAATGAATTTTCTGTTAAATTTATGATGTGAGAAATGCGTCTGAAACGTATAGTAGCTGACTGCTTTCTACAGTTGAAACCCGCCTGGGACATATTGATCAAACTAGCGACGTTTCACGCCCAGCCTGCCGAGCAATCCGAATGTGGGGCAGCAGTTGTGGTTGCAATAGACTCGTGTGCCACCTGACAATGTCTCTTGTTGTTACATAATCAAGTGACAGGCATACAACAGACCGACAAGCAGCAGCAGAGCTACCCAGTCAGCCGGCCGACCCGACGACAGACAGCCAGGATATGTGTATGTTAATCGTTTCCGCAGTTGTTGTGGTTGTCTCCTTGGCTGTCGCTTCGTCATGGTAATCTGACCCACCCTCCTACTACCTCTACCTACCTACCTGACATTTATGAAACTATTAATATGATTACAGTCGCTTCTCGTATTCGATTATATTAGTTTAATGACATTTATGGAAATGTGGTAATATATTATCTTATTCAGCCATTCATAATTTAAAATTAAGAATTGTTGGTAAATACTGGAAATTCATGCATCGTCTGCCCTTCTAAAATTCTGAAACATCAACTGTTCCTATTAATGTGGCCAGCAGTGTATCTGCTTCAAGGTGCATGTTGGCTAATGAGAGCACTTGTCGCATGTCAGTGGCTGACTTCTTGACTCACTTTGTATTGTGTGCCGTCTCTTACAGGCTTGCACCAAGTTGACCTATGAACCACTTGTCTTCACCAAACGCCCGCACACACTCAATGGCTATGTGGTCTTTGGCCTGGCTGACGAGAATGGGGAATGCCCGGAGACAGGCTCAAAGGTTCAGTTTGCGGCACGTGCAGGCGTAAGTACTTATTTATATATATATATATATTACGAAAATTTAATTATAAAACTATATGGCTGGTATTACAGCCCTCGGAGCATGCACGCGCCTTTCTACGATCTGACAAGATTTCGCTAACGGACACAGATTTCTGTCCCAAGGAGGTGCTCAAGTTCTCGCCGATACCAACTTCAAAATATTGCAAGCGCAGCAATTTTGAAAATTTCACATCTATAACACAATATGACATGGACTTAAAGTTTAATAATGTACGTAGAAAAACGCATATGGAGTCTACCACATCGAATATTAATTTAATTCGCATCCTTTTTAGATGCCCGCCTGGTTCGAGCTGTGGTCCACGCGTCTAGATCATCTGGTGTCCGCGTTTTCCGCCAATAAGGTAGACAGCTTGCATATGAGTCAACAGATTAACATAACGATGCACACGCCGCACGATCACTTCTGGCTAACTGTGGAGGTGAATGGTGTCCATTGGCGTATATATCATATACCGTTCCTCTACAGGCTGGACTCCAAGTTTGATGCATCGCACCAGCTGACCTATGACTCGGGCTTGAAACGCTCCTGCTCAGTGATCAATGGGATGATCAATTCATTCGATGATTACCTCATTAATCTAGGAGAGATTGCAGCTCACTCGAATTGCCTAACTTTGCTGGTGGCAGATTGTTCGCCACTGCCAAAGATGGCTGTGTTCATCACTCCGTCACCTGATGCCCAGAGCCTGGCCAGCAACTATGGACTCCGTGTACACATTGGCCCCAACTATTTTAATTTCCGTTCGCGTGCCGGTAACAGCAGTCAGATCGATGAATCTCCCGTCTTCATTTACGTTAATCAGGCACAAACACCATATGACGTACGCCAGAAGCCATACCAATGGCCAATCGATGACAGCGATTATGCATTCCGGTAGGTTAGACCATGCGCAACGATTCTTGAACTCTAAATAATATGATCTTATCGCTGCAGGGTGGAACTCAACGAACAAAATATTTTGATAGTGGAGTGTACCAAGCTGAGCGCTACCATCCAGTTCGACATGTACAACATATTGAACTTCGAGATTTTCGGTGTCTACAAGCATCAAATGTGCGGCCTCTGCAGTAAGCCGCTTAACCGCATGCAGAACTACACGCTATGTGAGCTGGACACGGGGACGACGACGACACAAATGCCTGTGCGGAATTTATCTGAAACACCTCTTACCTTATAACAGTCATAAAGTATAACTAAAGTTAAGAGAGCGCTATAGAAAGGAACTCGAAAACATAGCTAAGATACATGTAGAGCTCGGCGGTCTTTAAAAACAAATTAATAAGAAAACAAATATAACTTAATTATACTTTTAACAAAACTTAGACAACATAGTGCTTCTAAAATGTACAGAGATAAATTGTACCATACGTCACCATAGAGGTTTACGAATTGTAGCATACTTATTGGGGCCCGAAACTAACTATTAAAGAGATATTTTGCATTTAATAATTTGCGTTTATTCAATGTATAGCAAATTTGAAAGATGGAAACAAATCTATTTAACTGTCTAAATAATTAATTATTGATTTGTTATAAGAAAAACAAAAGAAAAATGTGCAAGCACAGATTAACAAAGTGCTCTAAAACAAGCTTTGGTCATTATAAACGCATATCAGTTTGATAAGATATGCGTGTATAGATATTAATAGGGTTTGAGTATCGGTGTTTAAGTCAAAAAGTCATAGTCTCTTAAAGTAAATCGTATTAGGTATTTTATACTAAGGTTACTGCTGCTTAAAGCCCACTTGCCTCTCCCGATCGCGATGCAGTTGGGTCAGCAAATGCAATCGCAACTGGGCAACGGACTCGAGCGTATCATTGCACAATCTACATGTCAGGGGCTGCAAAGTACCCTCGCTGCAAGCAAAGCTGATTTTTAACGTAACGTCCACAAGCGAACAGTTCCAAGATACTTACAAGTTGCGCCAACTATACAATTCGTTGCAATTCGCTTGTAGAGCCAACAAGTTGCCCATATTCTCGCATTCTAAATCGTAGGAGCAGTGCATGGGGAATATAGCACGCTTGCCGTATGGTTCGGAAGGCGGCTCCAAATCTGACATGTCCTCCCAAAGGTATTCGGAATTAGACACATGGCGTTCAATAAAACTCCGATCCTTTCCAAGCAGACTGTAGACAAAATACCTTCATTTAGAAAGAATTGTATTATTGAGTTTAATTAACACAAACCGAGTGAGCAAAGATCGCAACTGATTGAAGATTATAACGCGATCCTCCGTCCCCACAGAGGGCATCTCGTTGACATCGAAATTGTAAAACATGCTGTCAATATTGTAACGCATTTGGTTTATCTGAAATACACGTGGTTAAAGCCATAAAACTGAATTTTCAGATAATTAGACAAAAGAATTTACAATTCGGATATCATCTTTAAGTATAGCCACATCCAAACTGATGACCATATCGTGCTCTTCAAAATACGACTCCATAGTATGAGGATTAAAGCCGAGTCCAGCCAACAGGGATATATACTTTGTGCGAATCTTATTGCATTTGATTTGCATGGTGGGACAGAAGAGCATGGCCATCAGAGCACCAAAGCCATGTATGTTGGGCATCAATGTTGTGCCGCGAGCCGTCAATCTCTCATTGCTTTCAGTCACTGAGGCAGCCACCACCATCTGATCGTGCCGATCCTGTGGATCAGTATCCAAGAGCACAGAATTGACAGATTCTTTGTCAATGAAGACCGACTTATACATGCCAATGCGAAGCACAGAACTTATGCTGCTTTCGAGCGGGCTGAATGGGCCTCTGAGGCGTATACTAAGATTGCATTTATCAAGAGGTGGTGGCTCTAAATCTGCATCCTTTGGCAATTGGGCGAAGCGTAAATACTCTTCATTGATGAGCTCCTGGTCTGCAATGGGAACATTACATTTAGTCTCCTGCTTACGTATTCGCATATCATGATCCTTGCGTGACATATAGTCCTCGTCGGCACGACGAGCTAACTGACGGTCCACCAGTATATCGTTCAGGTCACCATCGCGCGTATGTATTAAAACAGCAGCCACATTGTTTACCAGCGAATAAACCTCCATCTGGAGCCGTCCGGACTTGGCAACCGAGATCAACATTTCGTTGGCCTGTTTGGGCCAGCGATTATAGGAGCTCGTCACCGACGAGGGCTGCACCAGCGCCAAGCGGCACTCGAACATTCGCGGAGGCAACTGCTCAAAATCACGTTTCAGTTCAGGAGACATAAGACGTAGCTTATCCATGGGCAGCACAGCCACATCGCCATAATCAATAAAACGCACGCGGAACTGAGGATTACCAATTATCTGCGTCTCAATCTTTAGTACCTGTGCGCGTTGGAAAAGCTTTCCCCGCTTTGCCAGCAGTTGCAGACCCTTCGTGACTGCGCTCGCATTCCGAACGTGGTAGCTAAGCTGCTGGGATCCATTGAAAATCTCCGACATACTCGCAATACGATCAGCGAGCGCATGCGGCTGAAAAAAAAACTTGCCACAGTTGGCAATCTACAGAAGAGAAAAATGTTAAAATGTTATGTTATCATTTTCATTAGTGGAAACAAATATCGCAATTGAACATGTCATTAATAACAATATGTATATATATAATATAATTAATCAATCCAGTTCTTAAAGAATTTATCTTTTGACTACATCGCCTTCTAACGAAAACTACTACAGACATGCGATATCTTTAGATCGAAGTATACACTCACATATGTAATAAGTCCAGTGATACTCTTCTCAAACACAGATGGCAAGGTGAGTAGCTCAACATTCCATTGCTTTGATGGCGGCACCCAGGTGCAGTCATTAATTACACCAATTCTACGCTGCTGCACATAGCGAAAGGCAGAGTTTTGACTATAGTGTAGAACAGAATAAACGAGAATTTTTTTAATATTCTTTCAAGTGCTTCATAAACTTACTCCATAACACGAAGTGGACGACTCTTATTCTCAAGACGCATGCGCACTGCTTTATATACCTCGGTCATGACGCGACCTGGCACTTGTATGACCTTTGTGCTGTCCATATCCTCATCGTCCGCTTTAAATGTTACAAATACCTTTTCTGAGCCGTGCTGAAAGGTGACGTCCATGCTCTCCGATGGGATTTTTGCCTCCAGAAATAGTTCCTTGATACGCCGCGTGTACAATTCGCCCATGTAACGCGGCTCGAAATTGGTGAAATACACGGTGCGACATGGATCGTTGCCACAAATAGTTTGGAACAAGCTGCGATCGTAATCGGCATTCGCTTTGTTGCTTCGTATAAAATAGTTTGGATAAAATGCTCCAGCAAAGATCACCTTTAGAATTATGGACTTCTCGCGATCATCCCACATGTGGCAGGCACCATAAGGCAGTGGCTGCATATTGACAGCTGCGCATCGTTGGCGCAAATCCTGTACCATCAAATGCATTTCCTTAAGCGAGCGCAAGTTAACGTTAAAGCGCCTGGCCCATTGCTCCGCCGATTCCTTAAGCATTCGATCCTGGCACATATTTAGGTAGATCTAAAAATAATTCAAAAAAAATATTCGAAGAAATTCTTTGCTAAGCTTGCGAATTATGGCTTACTCTATACACACGCCAAATGGCTATCATATCGGAGCCAGAACCATCGGCAAATATGTAGTGCATCCAAAAAGCATCGTTCGTCTGTCCACGTCTGCCAGTCAGGTACAGACTGCGCACAGTCATGCCAGCCGCTTTAAGTGCATATTTCTTAACTGAGCTCTCTAGTTTCACTATTCGCTCTACCACTTACCAATAACAATTACCTCATCCAGGCAATTAAAAACGTAACCGAGTATAATCAGGCGACTGAGACGTACGTCTAGTGGAAATCGAGACATAATTTTTCCCCAACAACTAAGATCGCCATCCAGTTCCTCGTAAACGCCATCAACGGTAGTGTACAGGGCGCCCACCTCCTTAAGAAGCAACACTGTGTTTTGTATGTCAGAAAGATTAGGCGGTGACATAGCAAGGGCCAAAATTTCACTCGGCTTGCCCATCTCGAGCTCCTTAGCTCTTAGTACCGAATTTTGAAGCGGCGATCGGAGTATCTCGGGGGTACCAAACTCTTTCATATGTTCCATATAAAAGGCTTTAGTAACCATACGATAAACTCGTCCGCTACGTAGACGACCAACACGTCCAGCACGTTGACGGCAATTAACTTTAGAAGCCCATTCCAAGCGCAGGCTACTAAAGTTGGAAGCGGTATCGGTGTGCATTACCTTGGTTAAACAAAAATCAATTACATAGGAAACATCTGGCACTGTAATAGAGCTCTCCGAAATGTTGGTTGTCAGTATGACCTTGCGGTGGCCAGGTGGAGGAGGATGAAAGACTTCCTCCTGCGAATCGGGCGACATTAGCGAGTGACAGCGCACAATGGTAATTTTCATGCTAGGACTGTAAGAAAAACAAATAAAATTAAGCACGAGTCATGTTTAAATTACTCCGCAAAAAGAAATACAAATGATTTACTTACTTCTCGTCGACTATTCTGGTTATATGGTCCATCATTGTATCAATCTCATTGATGCCAGGTAGAAAGATAAGCACAGAGCCGGTGCGCTTTGCCTCTTCGTAGGACTGCTGGGATTGACCAACGGCCTTGCGCTCCATATTATCAATGACCAAAATAAGTTTGATGGCATCGCCATAGCCCTCAGGTCCTATGCCTGGTGTGCTCTGCTGAGGCTCATCCTTCCAGTGTATATTTTTCAACTGATCACGATAGAATTTGACCAGAGGATACTTACGTCCATGACTAACGATGACCACGGGTGGAAAAGATAAGCTCGTGGCAAAGTATTTTGAAAACTCGCTCGTATCAATTGTGGCCGACATCAGAATGACTTTTACATGGCGTGAATTGAGCGCCAGCAAGCGGCGCACCAAAATCAACAAGAAGTCCATATCCTGATCACGCTCGTGCACCTCATCCAGTATGATGTGTGTATAATGGGTTAGCGTTTTAAATCGAATAAGATTGTTTAGTAAAACACCTGTAGTACAGTATAACAGGCGCGTATCCTCCAGATTCGATTGGCGATGTAGTCCAATCTGATAGCTGCACACAGTGCCAGGTTGCCATTTTCTCTCTTGGCACACACGATTGGCAATCGAAATAGCAGCAATGCGGCGCGGCTGCGTAACGACAATATTACAAAACTCGCGCCGTTTGAATGCCTCATCCAGAATATATTGCGGCACCTAGCGGTTAACAAATGTAGCACAATAATCGATAATAATTTAATACTAAAATTCATTTCGATAATTAAAAGTATCAAAACGATATACTGTCCGGATGGCAACGCCGTACTTTACAATTGTCAACAAACTTTAAAGTGCAAGCATACAAGACTGAACATCTAAAGATAAATATTAAATAAAAGCAAAAATCATTGCATGGAGCAAAATGTCTATGACGACTGCTGGCAGCTGCTTCAACGTTTTGGACGTGCCGCTGACGCTTCCCAGATGGCGAAATTTGAACTGTTCTGCCAAACATGGCACGAGTTACAAACACAACATATTTACTCAGCTCAAACCAATCACATTGAAGTGATTGAGACCACAATGGCAGCCCTGCATGTGGGTAAGCGAGTGGCATGTGGTCGCCGTACAAACGGTGAGCTATTCCAGGCGACGCGCGCCCAACGTATTGGCGGCATATATTTGTTATATGCCATATACAATAAGCAGCCGACAAAATTGTTTGTTAAGATTGAGGTGTCGCCTCGCACATGGCAGTCACTAACCGGTTATGTGGAGCAACTGCGTCGCGAGGGTGGTGATCGACGCGACACGCAGCAAGTGAGTTACATATTCTGGCAACTGGTTCAAGAACAAGCTTTCCGCTACACAGCTTTGGATTACTGCCAGGCACTGGACGCCCTGGCCGCCTACGACAGTTTGGAAAGCTTTGTGGAAGCCAAACAACAGAAGAACCACACAGCTGCGCTATTAAAGCAACAGCTTAATCCAAGCAGTGGCAACCTTTCCGAGGAGCTGCATGGGCTAACGGAAATGGCAACCAGTTGTAAAGCATTGTGCCAACTGGAGACGGCTTACAACATGCAGATGGAGTCGCACCGCAATTCGTTTCCCGCCACAATCATCTTCAGCCAGTTGCGAGATGTTTTCTATGAAATTAATGATCTGCTGACGCACGAGGAGAAGCCTACAACATCAAACGCCACAAATGAACATCTGGAGCTGCGAAAGAAAGCCCGCCACAAAGCAATGTTTGGCGAACTCCCGGAACAGGTGTCAACAGAAGAGGTAACTGAACAATCCCTGCACGAAGCACCCGATCGTCACGAGCGACGTATGTCATCGGCAACGGTCTTTGCACGCAAATTACCAGATGATGTGATTCGGAACTTGGAATGCTAGCTCGATAGTTAAATTCCAATTATTAAGCTTTATATAAAAATATATTATTTCAAAAAAGATAAAGCTAAGCGAGAGGTTTTTACCACAAACCACAAAATTGAAGATATAAATAAGATCATTTAATAGTACTGCCTGATGAACAAGTAACAAATGGCAACAGTGATAAACTATATTTAAAAAATTAAATAAAACAAAAATGTGGCTCTAGCTGCTCAAATACAACGGTTTGAAATTCATTTATAGCAATTTAAAATAAAAATCTTAAGAACCATTGATAATTTAAAATTAACTTGATCTGGTTGGTTCTGAGAATAGAAAAATAAAATTGACTATTGCTCTTGACGAAGAACACATGCTTTTATAATGGTAACTAATTTAAATTTCAGATATAATGTATAATTCATAATCTATAGATTAAGTTTCAGACATGTGGGATTATATGTACATGCATAATACCTATAAGTCTGGCGAACTAGTTCTTTTAGGCTGGTAAATTTTGAGTTTTATTTTCATATATATAGTTTAAGTGAAAATATTAATAGATAGAGTGATGTGCAATAAAACATACCTGGGTAGTCTTACCACAGCCGGTGTCGCCTTTCAAAATGACCACTGGATTCTCTCTAATGGCTGTCACGATATCTTCACGCTGCTCGTAGATTGGCAGATTTTTGTTCCGATTTAGGTCGAATCGATATTTCTTATAGTATTCTTCATCTGATCGTACGCCCGGCAGTTCTTGCATTAACTCATCATCATCACTGTCCAGTTCATCAAGCATTTTGTTCGGTTTCCTATTAATTTGCCCGTCAGCGAACTGTTGATAAAAAATAAACAAAGCACAGCTCCAATTGAAAACGTTCCACACACACACACACACACATATACGTGCACATACTTTGTTCATAAGCTGCTTTTCTTTCTCGACAATTTCGTGCACATAATCTTTGCCGACAATCTCGCGCTTGATCGGTTTGGAATCGGTGGACTCTGTTGTAAATGCTGTCCGGTCGCCAGTTATACAGCCTTTCGGCGCTGGACCGCGATTAAACGGTTTTGAAAAATCAAAAAAGTCCATCAAATCAGAATCCATGTTATAGGAAGTCTGAGGTTAAAAGGCACTCTTTAAACAACTCAAAAAACTAACAAACTTGACCAGCGCGCTACACAGATTAAACGGTATATGTCAATTTTTCGAATCTGGCAATACAAAAATTCAACTCGCATTTACCAACACACATAGCCGATAGGTTGCGATGCTCTCCAAATATCGATATTTATTTAACGCATCTTGTCGTATGACAAGGGTATTAGTATCGATGCTTTATTAAACTGCTGCTGACGTTTGACAGTACAGCTAAACGAAATATTAAACAAAAATTTTACTTATAAGAACAACTAGCATAATACTTGGTTCAAAATTGTATAAATAAAGAAGCTGCCTAACAGGAGCGAAAAATGACACGTAAGTGAACAAGCCAAAGACGCCATATTCTATTTCTTTTCTTCTGTTGATTGTAGAGAATTTTGCATCAGATAAATGCTGAGGTTTCAATAACTACCACAGTAATAATATGATTGGAAATCCATAAAACAAATAGATGAAAGAATATTGATTACCTTGTGACCGCCCGTATATATACATTTACATATATGTATACATACATACATATATATGTATGTATATACAAATATATGTATATATATGAGTATTATGTATGTCGTGTAGCCTTCTAACCTCTACAAATGAGCTTCAATAAATTTGCACGCGAAACTAACCGTAAAGCTAGCGGCAAAAGAACAAATTCTCTTCGCTCTTCGAAATGCTTTGTTAATTAGATAATCATTTTTTTAGGCGGCAATCAAAGAGACCTGGCGCGCGCCAAAAATCAAAAGAAATTAGCTGAACAAACTAGAGGCAAACGCACTGATACCCTTACGGTGGAACAACGCAAAGCCCGGTGAGATGGAAGTTACCTGACAACTGTACACGTGTAGCTGTACCTGTACAACTATCTTGAGTATTTGTTATTTATTTGCAGGGACGCTGAACTGATGAGAGAGAAGCAAAAGAAAAAGGAAGATGATGCGGCTGCAGCTGCCGCAGCTTCTAGCAAAGGCAAATAGACAAACATTGATTCCAGTTCCAGCTAGAACAGCGTGCATCAGTGCAATCGTCTAAGGTCAACACAAAATTTTAGTTAGGCATAGTCAGTTACAAGAAAAGAAAGCAGCAGCCGCAATCCGGAGACAACGATCGAGGCCAACGTTCGACTCCAGGATAATCAATATCAAAATCAATTGGTTAAATTGCGCTAAATGCGCGCAATGTGAATATTAAGCTACGAAGCCGACGTACATTAATAATTACGCATCCTTAGGCAGACCACACACAAACAGACAAACCCAAAAGGTTCGTTTCCTTAACCTGCTGAGCAATTTATTATCTTAATCATTTCTCTATATACCTGACTAAATTATTTAATGTAAAATATAAACATCAAATAAAACATAATATACAGCCACAAACAAACCAAAATGCAAAAGTATTATATTTTTTCCATACACATTTATATATATACATACATTGGAATATAATGAGAGTATATTGTAACTGCATATTGAAATAAAGAAGAGTACTCTGTTACTTTTGGGTATCTTGCATTCCACTTGTTGATCTTACGATAAAATAGTAGAATTGATTGATACATGGAATCACTTGGTAAGACAAAGATTTTAATATTTCGCATTCTTTTTGATTCTGTTTATATAAATCAGACTTAAGTTAAATATTCTAAAACAGCATTTGCAGCTTAAACTTGAATATGAATTCCCTTAGAGCTGTAAAGCTCGCATAGATGAATGCATTCGGGCTATATATATATGCCTGCCTGCTGTTCATATGTACATGTACATATATATATATATATATATATATATATATATATATATATATATATATATATATATATATATATATATATATATATATATATATATTTCATGCTTAACTTATTTTTGACTTGCTCGACAAATCTATAAAACTAATTTTGTCCTGCCAAAAACTATATACAGTTCGCAGAACTCTACTTTTCAAATATAACTTTATAATAAATCCTTTCTTTTTTTAAATAATATAATAAAAAGTGTTTCATTTCTATGAATCAAAAAGCTTGGAATATATGTGTAAATGAACTTTCATTTAATATCGATCATTTAATATCGATCGATAATTCAGTCGGAATTGTTACTTTTATCCAAACACATGCAGCAGTTCAAATCTGTTGAGGTAAGAAAGGAATTTGGCATAACAAAAAGCATTCTATTAAAGTTATAGTTCATATGTAATCTGAAATCTAATCTTAGGTATAATCAATAAACAATCATTTTCCAATAATACAAGCTTTCAAAATAGTAACTTAACATAGAAGCAGACAAAAATATGATCACTTCAAAGGCTACTGAAAAGTTTTCTAAGCTTATGGAAATATTGGTATAAAATGTATACAAATTTAATATTTTAACTTATTATTTATATTGTATATTTATATATGCATATATGTGTTTATAGGACACTTATAATGTTTTATATCCATTTGCATCCATTTTATGTCTGTAGGGTATATAGAAACAACCGTCAATACTCTTTATTGAATGTGTAAACAAATTTTCGATTGCAACCTCAAATTCAGTCCAAATTTGCATACAATGGCTCATTTCTAGGTCAAAGAGTAAAAGCAGATCAAATATGATCCAATGGCCGAAAATTGAATTCTCTTACGATAAGTAAAAATTGATTTCATTAATATAAAAAATATATGTATATACTATATATTTGATATTTGGCAATCAAAGGTGAAATTGAAGAGTAGAAGCAACGTTCATAACTCAAGCTGCAACGAAAGTAAATTGACCACAAATGGCACTCTGATGCCAATAAGTTGAATGTAGCATTTACCATTTGTACAAACATAGGTGAAATGCCCAAAAACAAAAGAAGAAACCACGAACCACTGGCAAACAGGCCAAACTAACCAAAAATGGGCGACAGCAAAGCGTGTTGGCATCATATCTATGGCGCGTATCTTAAATAAAACTAGTCAGAGTTCCATGGGATACGGATGTCGATGCTGGGAGTGGGTCTGCAACTGGTACAGGATCGCGTGCGAGATGCTCATGTGCACACAGAGTTCTGAGAAATGCCACAGAAAAACACGAGAACGACGATGACCAGCTGCCCGGGTAATGAGCGACTTCTACCGATTTCTTCGGCATCTAGTGCAAAACGTTGTCGTGGATATCGCCAAGCAAACAAAGGTTCATTGTTTGCTTAGTTTGTTTTTGTTTAATAGGTCTATGACGCACAAAAACAAAACAAAAGACAATAACAATAACAGGTTTTCTTAGACTTACAAGTTCCCAAAGCAGAGAAAGCTCCTCAACGAAAGCTTGATCAATCTTTAGTTTCAGAACTTTTCTACGCCACAGAGCAAGAGGAAACAAAACTTAATCAACGACGTCGTCGACGTTGGCGTCGACGTTTACGTCGCAGCAGCCCAACGTTGAGAGTTGAGAGGCACAGCCGTTCGCCTCTCTATGCGACTCTCATGAATAGCTCGCGCGCGATTTCAGTCGCTACGTGAAACTCGCCGCAAACACAACAAAAACGCGCGCCAAACCGTGCCAAAAAGTCGTGTTCAAATTAAAGCTAAGCATATGATCGAATAAAATTAAGAAATAAAAATAAAAATAATTAATTATCATTAATCGTGTTAGAAAAGGAGTTGCGTTGAAAGTGAAGTGCTTTAAAGATTAGAAAGTGTAAGTGAAATTTGGCCAACTGCCAACATATTTGGCAGCCCTTAAATGCAGATGGAAATGCTAATGCAAATACAAATGTCAAGTGTCTGGCATTATCAGCAGCCAATTGGCAAGCGAATGCAACTACAAAAAATATTTAAATGATAGTCTATGCCTGGGCTCTGGGCAGCTAGATCGAGCGATCGATCGATTGAACGCCAAATGCAAATCAAGTGATAAACGATCGCCACGAAATTGAAATAACAGGCGTACAGCTTTCAGTTGGTAGGGGGACCAGCTAACCGAGTTCCTAGTTCTCTCCCCCTCGGCCCCAGTCTATCGGAGGCGATCGTCTGCCATTGACAGTCGCAAGTCGCCAATCGCCAATCGCAAGTCGCAGTCGCGTGTTTCATTTTATTATTTATACAAAATATATATTCAATTTCATTTAGCTGTCGCTGTTGTTGCTTTGTCGTCGTCGGCGTCGACAGCAATTTCAATATTCAAATGATCATGATCACTTGACTTCAACGATCGCGTTTCAAAGCTCAGCAATTTCTGAGCGCCTGCAACAGCAAGCCCCTACAAATTATGATTAATACGCTAAGCAACATCGACAAAAAAAATAATTAAATATTTTTACTAACAACAGCTCCCGTTTGCGTTCTGTTCGTACAGCCTGCTTACCTACATCTGCTTCTGACCCAATTTGTAGACGGCATTGATGAAAACTTATGAGCAAAACAAAACAGTTTGTTTGTTTTCTTTTCTCCTTATTTATTTTTGTTTTTTGCAATTGAGTTCTATATAGGCATGACTGCATATGTGTGTATGCTTATATATATATATATCTTGTGCATAATATGTATTTCCTTAGTGCTGCATTGCTGGGCATGATGTCAGCTCCATCTCCCACTGAAAGAGAACGCGTTGACATTGAATTCGACATGAACAACCTGCAATGCTAAAATTAATTTTTGGGCATATGAATTTAAGACCTGACTAAAGAAAGAAATTGCAAATCAACTAAAAATGCATATCAAATGGGCCTGTATGTTGCAAGTCTACAAGTTAACAATCAAGTCAGGTGGCAAGCGTGGGCGTATACCTAATATTTGCGTAAATTATAATTTTTGGCTCAAAAGAAAAACGAATAATATTTAAGCAACGGTCTGCGCCACTTTTTAGGTATGCCAATCAGCTATGCCCAATAAAAATCACATTCAAAGTCAATAAATAGCGACGAGCCTGGAATACACTTAAGCCAATTGTTGAATATGGCATAAGTCAAGCACCTGTTGCATCGTTGCTAAGCTAAGGATAACGAGATTCATGTATATAACTATATTTGTAATTATACATATATTTATATATATATATATTTATTATATATATAAAAGACAACCTAATGAAACGTTGTCATTGCCCAAAAATTAATGAGCACTCGTCTCTGGCGCACACATATATATATATATATATATATAAATAAATATAAATATATATATATATATATATATATATATATATATGTGTGCGCCAGAGACGAGTGCTCATTAATTTATATATACATGTATCTATACTATTTATTTCATACTACAACGCTTCATTAGGTTGCCTTTTAGGCTTGAGAATTCAAACACATTAGGAACTAATAAAAATAAAATAAAAACAGAAGAGCAAAAACGCTTTGACATAGTTCGACTATGGATTGCTCTATAATCGGGCATTGAAAATAGATAAATTTTTTATAAAAATATAGAAATACAAATTATCATCAAAACTTAAAAAATACGTTTACATTTTACATTTTTAATTGACATCTCTTAAATAGTTGATTTGAGATTTGAGCCAATGAGACTGGATTTAGATTTAAAACAAAGTATTATAAATTTGGATTTAATCTTAATTGTAACAGGAATTGCAAGCGATTTAAACCAGAAACAGCCAGAAACTCTTTTTGAATCGCACACCCCTGGTACAATCAAAATATACCCGTTCAAGCATTACGCTTGCCAGAGTATGCCAAAAGAGTAAAGAGCGAGCGTCAAAACGCGAAGGTTAAAATTTACAAGGCAATCGGGCAGGCAGTAAGATAAAATAGCGGAATACTAAATGGAATACATTTCTAGAAAAACGTTCTAATGCCGTAAATGAAGCAGCCGCACACCTTCACAAAGTATAGTTGGTGTTGACTTTGGTACAGTGGGGCAAATGCAGCTGTTTAGTGAACAAAATCAATCAGAACTTGCAAATTGGTATTTGAAATTTGGGAAAAATTTGCTAGATTTCCCAGAGTGTTAGATATTTCCATTTAATTACAAATCTTTGAGGTATCTGCTCGGACTGCCTGAGCCAACAGAGGCCGACTAAAAGCATTTTATTTAGTATAAAATCTTTAGATCTGTAGGTTTGTAGAGAGCGCAAAATTCTCGCGACCTTGTGGACTATTTATAATTTGTTTTGTATCTGTGCGTTAGCTCGT